TTCACAAAGCGATGACAGCGCTGAAGTCATCAGTAACACCTACATATAGCCGTAGCTAAGAGCACTTTGTGAATCGGGGCAATAATATTCCTGTTTCATGATATTTCAGACAAATAAATCCATCGTTTGTCATCAGGTATTTTTCAGACACGAGTGTCAGAGGGTGTTGCACTCCCTCCGCACCCCCGGAGTTTAATTCACAACCATCATTCTCCGGTAGTCATCATGTTCTGAGGCCCGAAGGCCACAGGTAAGATGTTACAATACCTGATGACAATTATACATAGCTATGCAACGTTGTGTAATGGAAATGGAAAACTGAAGTTAAAAGGCCATAATTATTTGAGTATACACATTTAATGAAAAAGTTTAACAATTCCTAAAACTGACTGGTCACGAAAACAGATTGGTCATACTGTTCCATTTATGAGAACAATGTGGTCACGTGGTCCATTGTAAACGACGTATCAAATCACCGTACGTTTGAAATCAGTCCAATATTTGACCTTTGCGATGAGCAGATCCTGTCCCATTGTTGAGAACAATGTGGTACACGTCAACTCTTGTTCACGATGACTCAAACTGATAATGTTATGTCACTCTCATTCTCTTTCTAGCTCTCTCTGTCTCCCTCCCATCCCAAACCCCTATCCTCCCACACACCAGGATATATCTGAAATGCTGACATAGGCGTAATTTCTCTGACAAGTACACCAGGGCCTAGATTTTCGAAGCTCTCTTAGCGCTAGGAGAATCGTAAGTGTCATACATTAACACTAACTTACGACTATCTTAGCGCTAAGAGAGCTTCGAAAATCTAGGCCCTGGCTAGATATTCTCGAAACGTTCGTAGCCCTACGAACTTCTTAAGCCCATTCTTAACACATTGGCTACGATCAGAGTTAAGAATTCTTAGGGCTACGAACGTTTCGAGAATAAGGGCCCTGGTGTTTATCTGCTACACACTACCGTAGACCATCCTCCTTCCTCCACGCAGTTCTATTGGGTGGAGGTCATCTTTCAGTCGCATGAATCATATCTCGACCGGAAAACATTTTTGTCAACAAATTAATGTTCCCAAGAACCTTTATTTATGAGTGTTACTCAAATGTCAATAACCGCATGCACATCTTCATTAACACGATGTGCGTTCGACTGTTGAAAAGTGAGAACCGGAGTTAATGAGGTCACCACATCTCTAACTTTAGTTAGAAAGAATGTCCCTGTGTGCACGTCAAGTGCATGTACTGTTCGATTTGAAAAGTGATCTTGGGAATATTAATTGCTGTTCCGCAGCTTCGATTTTGACAACTAGTCGTTAGGGCAACCCTAGTGATATTCAGTATAACACCTACTATGCCCTGTACTAGGGGTGGGTATTGCAGATAATTTTCATATTGCGATATAATGCGATGCGAAAGCATATATTGCGATGTGTATTGCAATACCTTGCAAGAAGCGTTTTTTAACACAAAAAAACTACTTATAATCGAGTTAATGCTTGATTTATAAAAGCAAAAACACAACACAATCACTAAACTTGATTAAGCGTTAATAAAAACTTTTAATCATGACGAAATAAAAATGAAAATAATATTTGGTACAAATGAAACAAAGAAATATCCGGTGATTTCCGAGTATTACAAAGTTTACCCAATGCATGTCAAAATATCGTTTTATCAGCGTATCGCAAAGCGTATCGTCTTCATGTCTGAACCAGTAAATACTGGTAAACTGGTTACATTGCGCATCCCTACCCTGTATAAGGACAACACAAAACCCAGCCGTATGCAAGGCATATGTAGTTTCCTTAACACTTTATGATGAATTTCGGTTTAGACATTGAATCGCGCATTCCTATATCAAATATCACGTTTTGCTGATGTGTGACGTATGTGGCGATACCAATCGCCTACCACGTCCTGGTACATGGTTCCGTTCTTCTGTGCAGTTAACGACAGATATTGAGACAAGATTGCACAAGGAAATCATGAATTTACAATAAGGAAATATACATACAGGATATTTAGTGAGTCATATTGCGGGGAGTTTCTGTGAAATTACTTTTTGATAAGAAGTAGACGTCACAGACTTAGACTTTCAATTCGAGTTTGCTCCAATATTTGTTTCACTGTGTAGCCTACGCTTACATAGTGACTGGTTTACATTGTGGTCTGAAGTAATGTGAAAATTATCCAATGTGGTTTGTTGGCTTGAAACACGCTCTATTGACGGATAATTGTCCATATTGTTTCTGTTTGTTTGTTTCCTATTGGCGCATCATGATCCGCTGACCGTTGAATCAAGTCTTTCTAATTATGACCCTCAGCACCGTCCATGATAGCGGTCGACACTGAATGATATTTCTGTCTTCCTACCATGTAAAATAGACCAGTCGTTAAATGACTGAAACAATGCTTAAAGCTGAACACTGGGACTTTGTCCTCCATGGGTTCAACAACTGGATTGTCTGACTCACAGTTGCCTTTTAACTGAAATATTGCTGGATGTAGTTTTAAACTATAAACAAACCAAGTCTTTCCGTATACTTTAATGGTCTGCATAAATACGAACAACCCAGCTTCATATAGATATTTTTAATGATATCAACTTTAGGAATATCCAAAATTAATTTTGCATTTTATGAACAATCGACAAGGTACGACAGGAAAAGAGAATTAACTGGCTGCAGAGATAAAGAATGGGTGGCGTGTTCCTGCTGTTTTAGCCAGAGATACGAAGTACTCACAACATGCCAGTATGAGTGTGAGTGAGTGAGTGAGTTTATTTTTACGCCGCACTCAACAATACCCAAGCTACATGGCGGCGGTCTGTAAATAATCGAGTCTGGACCAGACAATCCAGTGATCAACAGCATGAGCATCGATCTACACAAATAGGATACGATGACATGTGTCAACCGAGTCAGTGAGCCTGACCACCCGATCCCGTTAGACGCCTCTTACGACAAACATGGGTTACTGAAGACCGATTCCAGCCCGGATCTTCGCGGGTCATGCCAGTATAAACCTGACGATGAAAAAAACCCCGACCAGAACATTAAACCCAACAAAATCACTTTACAGACGCCAAATATTGGTCTGGAGACATAACACTATCAATTTGAGACATCACGAACAATAGTTGACATGTACCACATTGTTCTCAACAACAGAACAGGATCTGCTTATAGCAATTAAAAGACAAATATTGGTCTGATTACAAACGCATATTGATTTGACAATGGAAAATATTTTTCCACATTGTTCCTCAACAATGGAACTATATGACGTCATCACTTCTAGTGACCAATCAGCTTTGGAATTAGTTAAACTCGTTCATTAAATGTGTATATGCAAATAATTATAGCCTTATTATTTCAATTTCCATTTCCATTACACAACGTTAAATGGCTAAGTAAAATTGTCATCAGGTATTGTAATATCTTACCTGTGGCCTTCGGGCCTCAGAACATGATGACCGCCGGAGAATGATGGTTGTGATTTAAACTCCGGGGGTGCGGAGGGAGTGCAACACCCTCTGACACTCGTGTCTGATTAATACCTGGTGACAAATGATTGTTTCCTGTTCTGGAATATGAGAAGTAGAAACATGTCATGGATTCAGATTTTCTGAAACGTTTGATAAGTTATGTCACGAGAGGTATTAGGATAAGGTTAGAATCAGCAAAATATTTAGGACGTGCAACAGTTGGTAGATTTTGTTTGGTGAATGCCACAGACACTGTATTGATGTTGTCAGACAAATGACCATCAGGAAAGCGAATCAGGGATTCGAACCCACCCAGTACATCCAGGCGGGAGCTTGGAACACATATCTCTTTCTACACAGCAACTTGCATTTCCTTACATCACTGGATCATCACCCTGAAATCCAATTCTTTATTCTCATAACCACCTTGGTGGTACAAGAGCATATATTGTAAACATATATACACATATAAATTTAAATTCAAGATGGCAGAAAACAACATATCAACATTTTTTCTGACAAGAGATGATAGATGTAGGATATATTTTGATAGATTTACTATATCTCGAGAAGTTTTTAAAGATAATATTTTCGTGAACTTTGTTTCATTGGGAAGAGAAAGTAGATGGGTGGGTAAATATTGTTTTCTCAAAGTATCTAATGCTTTGCAATGAAAATTATAATGGTATTCATCTGCGATGCTTCTAGAAGTGCATAGTTGACACGTTCTCTCGTCCCTTGGAATATTATACCAGCGGCCGGTCTCAATAGGTAAACTATAGTTACATGTTCTAAATCTCAATAATAGTTAGGAAATACGTTTTGGAAGGAGGAGATATACATCAAAATTAGGAAATGGTTTCAGGTGCTGATAGTAAATTCCCTTCGGACTAGAAATAATGTCATTGTGCCAGTTTGGGATAAATTGATTTAGTCGTCACTTTTTAACGATAGGGGCACAATGTGACGTCATATTACTAAGGTCGTCTGCACTGAAATAGCATGACGTCATTACTTACAAGAGTTCCTGTGAAAAACACTTTACTTGATGTCAATCAGGCAAATCAGAAAATAGATTCCATTCTGTAGAACGAATGATTTTACACGCGAAACTCTGAGAGTGTAACCTATGGCATTGATTGCCGAGGGACAGATAATGAGTCATTCCGTTTAGTATAATGAAGGTATGCCATTTAATGCATTACTAATTTTTTTAGTTAAAAACTAGCAAAACGAAAATTTATAAACTGCATGAAAGGGTGGTTTCACAAACGCCAAATATTGTTCTGATTACAAAATGCATGTTGATTTGAAACGTCGTTAACATTGGATAAAGTGTTCCACATTGTTCTCAACAATGGAACTATATGACGTCATCACTTTTAGTGACCAATCAGTTGTAAGAATAGTTTAACTCATTTATTGAATGTGTATATACAAATGATTATGGCCTTATTATTTCAATTTTCCATTTCCATTACACAACGTTGCATGGCTGAGTGTAATTGTCATCAGGTATTGTAACATCTTACCTGTGGCCTTCGGGCCTCAGAACATGATGACTGCCGGAGAATGATGGTTGTGAATTAAACTCCGGGGGTGCGGAGGGAGTGCAACACCCTCTGACACTCGTGTCTGATAAATACCTGTTGACAAATGATTCTTTCCTATTCTGGAATAAGAAGAAGCATAAGATGAATTCAGATTTCAGACGTAAAACAATTCACAGGTAATCCATTTACAAACACGTAATGGTGCTGTCAGACCAATGACTACCAGGAAAGAAATTCGGGGGTTGGAACCCACACCCAGTACATCCAGGCGGGACTTAGGAACGCAAATCTGACAGCAAGCTGACTCTACAAAGACACTTTCACCAACATTAGCATATTGTCCTGGGCCCCTTTTTAAAAGGCGCTCTGGGGGCTACGACAATAAGGATGAATATTTATTGAATGTAACATTAATAAAAAAAATTCTTATCACACTTCTATTCATATCACAATGCGTCTTTGTCTGCATGTATTCCAACAAAGTCAGAGGTCTTCAGCTGTATCAAGTGTATATGTACAGTGTATTTATAAGGTCCTTGTGGAGGGTATGTATGGCCCAGTTATTATGAACCTTAGTTTATGAATCTTTGGTTGAGAGCACATAGAAGGGATATAGTTTAAGGAGGTAATATATACGTGAGTGAGTGAGTTTAGTTTTACGCCGCACTCAGCAATATTCCAGCTATATGGCGATAGTCTGTAAATAATCGAGTCTGGACCAGACAATCCAGTGATCAACAGCATGAGCATCGAACTACGCAATTGGGAACCGATGACTATACATATGTAGTCACTATGAACAGTCCATGCTGTGTATACCCCTGAAGGTCCGGGTTAGAATTGGTCTTCAGTAACCCATGCTTGTCGTAAGAGGCGACTAAGGGGATCGGGTGGTCAGGCTCGCTGACTTGGTTGACTCATGTCATCGGTTCCCAAATTGCGCAGATCGATGCTGATGCTGTTGATCACTGGATTGTCTGGTCCAGAATCGATTATTTACAGACTACCGCCATATAGCTGGAATATTGCTGAGTGCGGCGTACAAAACTCACTCACTCACACTCACTCTAATGCATAACATATCAAATACATGCCACGAGTAACCACTTCTTGGATATCAAAACTATCCAACACATCCCTCTCTTGTTTTGATTAGAAGATGAAGTGTAACGTGACTATTAGGAGCACAATCTCGACCAGTCACGTCGCTAAGTCCCGTCATTTGATAGCCTCGATAACCAGCTCGCCTTGAGTAGACCTCGCCCACAAGTTTGTTCACACGAATTCCATGTCTGGTTTTCAACTCCCCGTGAAATGCTGGCCGATAAACAACATAGCCTTGCAGCAGATTTTACCTATCAAGAGGCTATTTGACCTCACCTTAAAAAGAACTAATTAATTATCATTTTGCAGTTGTCCCGAAGTTAGGATAACTCGAAATATTAAGTATGTCCCTTCAACTTCCAGACACCGGTGTTTGACTCTATTACACATTGCCACTTACGGGAGAAAATGAAGACAATATGGATTGTAAACCAAAAGTCACTGTGTTCTTTAATCTGATTGGTTGAAAAACGTGATCAAATGGTATTTGATTCCCGGAAATTCTCTGCGTATTAATACATACAAACATCGCTCACACCATTGTATTGTTACGTCGTCAGCTGTGATGACGTCATTAAAATCATATTGTGACGTAAAGTCCCGAATGACGTCACAAATGAGCAGTTCCAGATGCTACCATGGGAGACAGCCGAAACGGCCGGCTGATGACATTTCACTGCTGTATTCGTACTCGATGTCAATGAGAGCAGACACAAAAAACGTGTGTGGACCTTTCGGTTTACTTTTAGGAGATAAACATCATGTGTTGGCGAATTTCCGGGTGTTATTGAGTATTTGAAGCACGGGAATTCATTTGGAACCGACGGCGTCAAATGAAATATTCCCGTGCTTCAAATACTCAATAACACCCGGAAATTGGCCAACACATGATGTGTATCGACATTGTAAACACAAAAGTAAACCAAAAGGTCCACACACGTTTTTCTGTCTGCACTCATTGACATAGAGTACGGGTACAGCAGTGAAATGTCATCAGCCGGCCGTTTCGGCTGTCACCCATGGTAGCATCTAGAACAGCTCATTTGTGACGACATTCGGACTTTACGTCACAATATGATTTGAATGACGTCATCTCAGCTGACGACGTAACCCGATAAAACCCCATACAGAGAAACTTTAATGAAGGCAGTCTATTGTTCGGATGACGTCATGCAATCATCGGGACGTCAAAGTGTATTGTTCTTAGCAATTAACACTGTGACGTCATATGGCTTTGATCGACCAGTCACCATTGTGTATCGCGAAAATGCACATGCGCATTACACGTACGAGGTCGGTCATTCAGCTATGACACATCAAATGAAAAAACAGCAAATATGGTTTGATATGTTTCTACAGTGAACATCCCAAGTGTATGAGGTATATGGCGTACTGGTTCTAATGTATAATTGAATGTTTTGGTTTTTTTCAGACTACAAATAATGACTTTTCATCAGTGGTCAAATGACGGCAACGTACACACCCTTTTCGGTGTTTGAAACTAAACTCGAGCAGTGTTGAAGGATCCTTGTTGAGGCTAGATTCTCGTGTATGAGTTAATCACCAATCTGTTCCGGTTTTTCAGGACTGATTGCAACCACCGCCAATCTCCTGCCAAAATATCCACAAACGAGTGTCAAAATCCTGTCAGCTCTCGTCATCGCCTGTGCAGAGGTCGCCTATATTTGTACATGTATCAAATAGATGCCTCTCCGATTACAACAACGCAGGCTGGTGCCAGTGGATATAGAAATAAACACGTATATATTTCTATGTTGTGGAATTTCTTGGACGTTTCTCTGTTTTACCATGCTGCCATGGTTCATGTTTTTGGTAAGGAATTTGTCCACAGTCTCTCACATTTCGGAATATCATGTATTTGTTGAAGCATGTCAATTTTTCCTCCCCTAATGTTTTCTTGTCTTAACCTCAACTCTTATGTTGAGAAAAACACAATTTACTAACTCGTTCAGGGCAGTAGGTTGTGAAGGTTAACTTTCAGCCTATATTTCCCCCGCAAAGGTTTAGGAAGTAAAGTCCATACACTTTAACATTTATATCACGTCGTAAAGATCTTGGAGTAGGTTTATGGCATCTGAATATCTGGAATCGTATCAGTAATATAAAAAAGAATATACCAAATGACACTGTCTTCAAAAACCATATTCAGAAATATCTTATAATGATTGCAATGACATTTACTTGTCGCTGTACAACCTTTCTGGGAAAAATACACAATCTAATCTACGATTTTAATAAAAATGTTACGTTTTTCACTTTTGCGTCATTCACATGCGAGGCTTAAAATTTTTAAAAGTACAAGTCCATACATAAATTACGGGAAAACGCTTAAAAACCTGTTAGAATTGTAATGTAAAAATATGTGTCTCAAAAGACAGTAAAGCACTTTAAAGTTGAATTTGATCATACAGTTAAAAACGTTATCAAAACGTTAGTACTAGTATATGTTGTGAGATACTCATTAATCCAAAGCATGTGATGTCACCTGTGATATCTATCCCCTATCCCAAGCATAACGACCGGGTTAGAATGTGCCTTCTGTAACCCATGCTTGTCGTAAGAGGCGACTAACGGGGTCGGGTGGTCAGGCTCGCTGACTTGGTTGACACATGTCATCGGTTCCCAATTGCGTAGATCGATGCTCATGCTGTTGATCACTGGATTGTCTGGTCCAGAATCGATTATTTACAGACCGCTGCCGTATAGCTGGAATATTGCTGAGTGCGGCGTACAACTAAAGTCACTCACTCACACTCACTCTAATGCATAACATATCAAATACATGCCACGAGTAACCACTTCTTGGTTTGTTCTGTTTTCAGCCTCCACGAAACATAGGTGTATACTTTCTTTTGTCCGTCAGCTAAAACTAATGATGAAAACAGGTCTTATCTATGTGGTATTTGTTGTTGTCTAACGCCGCACTCAGCAATATTCCAGCTATGTGGCGGCGGTCTGTAAATAATCGAGTCTGGACCAGGCAATCCAGTGATCTCGTTAGTCGCCTTTAAGATGCACGGGCTGACTAAAGACCAACTCTAACCTGGATCTTTACCTGTCATATCAATGTTATATAACGATAATATTTAGAATCAAGATAAGTTGCTACGTTCCATTATCACTCCTCTGTGATAGGTCCCAGGGACCCATGCTGGCCGTACATCGTGACAAAATTGGACTACCTGTTATAGTAAACCTCCACGACATGGTTGATTGCGTGCCTTCAATGCACGGAGATTTGTTCGTAACATCCTGGTTTGTTTCGTCCAGACTCAACTATTTATAGAACCAGAAGGTTTCTCCTAACAGGCATCGTCTATCAGCTTGGAACCATATCCACAAAACGATCGTAGCACTTCGTCATTTTCATAGGCGGATCGATCGATCGATCGATCGATCGATCGATCGAGATCGAGAGAGAGAGAGAGAGAGAGAGAGAGAGAGAGAGAGAGAGAGAGAGAGAGAGAGAGAGAGAGAGAGAGAGAGAGAGAGAGAGAGAGAGAGAGTGAGTGTGTGTGTATGTGCGCTTTTTTGTGTTGGAAGTTTGTTAAATGACCATTGAAACTCGGGTCAATATGAAGTGTGCACCCCTCCTTTTCTCAATAGTGTGCACCACCCCCACACACACCCACTTTTCTCCAAAAGCTGTATAATATTCTCTTATAAGTGATGGCCTTTCTACTTACACTTGTTTATTTACCATAAAGAAAATGCACAAATCTTAAATTACAGAGTGTTTTTTTCTCGACCTCTATGGTTTTGTTTGCCACTTAATTACACTCCCCTGAACAATTTCTATATTTATGCCAGTGATCTCTCCGAAAAAAAGCATCGCTGTATCTCATTTCCTCTTACATCTTCAAGTAACAATACTATAATAGCTTCGTGTGTAGGTAGAGAATTATCTTCCAGAACAATCGAGCTTCTCCACAATATGTCAAATGAAGTGTCAAATTTGAATCCGCCTCCCCAAAGTATCCAACTGAGTTTTCTTTGAATAATACTTTATCCACAAGTTATATTTTGGGTAATCTTTTGCCATGATTTGTTACTCAAAAACTTCTAAACTGCTAATCTAACATTTTATTTCTCACATTAACAACAATGGATAAAAGTTTCATGGCAAAGAAAAGTATCCGAAAAAATTAGCTGATTGAATGTTATTTGACGCCGTTCCGTGGTATAATCAGGGAGACCTATAAATATAGTCGAGTCTGGACTACTACAAACCAGTGTCTGAGTGCATGACCACCGATCAACCCCCTTAGAAGGGCATCAAGCGAACCAGCAATTTACAGATGCTAGCCGCTCTGTCCCCGGGATATACAGATGCTAGCCCCTCTGTCCCCGGGATATACAGATGCTGGCCACTCTGTCCCCGGGATATACAGATGCCACTCTGCCCAGGGATATCTGATGCTCCCTCTGTCCCAGATATACAGATGCTGGCCACTCTGTCCCCGGGATATACAGATGCTGGCCACTCTGTCCCCGGGATATACAGATGCTGGCCACTCTGTCCCCGGGATATACAGATGCTGGCCACTCTGTCCCCGGATATACAGATGCTAGCCGCTCTGTCCCCGGGATATACAGATGCTGGCCTCTCTGTCCCCGGGATATACAGATGCTGGCCACTCTGTCCCCGGATATACAGTTGCTAGCCACTCTGTCCCCGGATATACAGATGCTGGCCACTCTGTCCCCAGGGATATACAGATGCTAGCCGCTCTGATCCCGGGATATACAGATGCTGGCCGCTCTGTCCCAGGATATACAGATGCTGGCCACTCTGTCCCAGGATATACAGATGCTAGCCGCTCTGTCCCAGGATATACAGATGCTAGCAGCTCTGTCCCAGGATATACAGATGCTAGCCACTCTGCCCAGGATATACAGATGCTAGCAGCTCTGTCCCTGGATATACAGATGCTGGCCGCTCTGTCCCAGGATATACAGATGCTGGCCCCACTCTGTCCCCTGGATATACAGATGCTGGCCACTCTGTCCCAGGATATACAGATGCTAACCCAGGATATACAGATGCTGGCCACTCTGTCCCCAGGATATACAGATGCTGGCCACTCTGTCCCAGGATATACAGATGCTAGCCGCTCTGTCCCAGGATATACAGATGCTGGCCGCTCTGTCCCCGGGATATACTGAGGATGCTGGCCGCTCTGTCCCAGGATATACAGATGCTGGCCGCTCTGTCCCCGGGATATACAGATGCTGGCCGCTCTGTCCCCGGGATATACAGATGCTGGCCACTCTGTCCCCGGGATATACAGATGCTAACCTCTCTGTCCCCGGGATATACAGATGCTAGCCACTATGTCCCCGGGATATACAGATGCTAGCCACTCTGTCCCCGGGATATACAGATGCTGGCCACTCTGTCCCAGGGATATACAGATGCTGGCCGCTCTGTCCCCGGGATATACAGATGCTGGCCACTCTGTCCCCGGGATATACAGGAGATATAGGAGTGGTATAGGGTTTTATACACAAGTATATAACCTTCAGTTATATTTGTCTGCTTGGTTTACAGGGATCTAGATTGGAGCAGTGGAAAACGAAATTGTCAAATTATGAAGATTTTAATTTGCAAACAAGAATTTCAGATAAAACCAGAAATTTTGTGTCCACTAAATGGTCGGATTATACATGCATTGAGCCGACAGATCAAATATATTACGGAAGTAAATTTCCCCTCCCCTCCACTGTATATCCTGTGAGGTTATTACCCCAAACGTGTTATAATACACGATTGTGGGAACAGAACAAGATAGTCTACATTCCTGGACGACAAGGATTGATGTCTACCAGACATGGTGCAATTACACCTTGTTGTGTTAAACATTTCAATGTCAAAATCCCGTTTACAAACTACCGTTATCCTGTGGCGGTTTTCACAGGTTGGGCGTCGTTGGCGTGGCAAGTTACTCAAACTGGCTGATGCAGCAGTAAACAAATCAAAGCAGGGCGTTCTCGTTCCTTAATCATGTTGGTTTTTGAAGTCGCAATGGCGGATCAGGTTGCCGGTGAGCCACGGAAGCTCCTAATGACCGCCAAGCTCGTCTGATATAATTAGTTGGGCATTTTCCAAACATCACCGTCGCTCGATACTCAAGGGATATTTTCGCATCCCTATGTTCGTTCCCCTTGCATTTGGAACTAAAGTCGAGCTATTATCATGACTTCAATTTTCTAAATATATATATATATATAGAAGCCACAGCAACTAAAATCCTAGTTTTGATGGGAACTATTGCAGCAGGAAATCTAGGTATAACAGGCACGTACAATAACAGGGTCAGTCACTGACGAACCAATGGCCGTGTCAGTGGTCACCCTATCCCAATGTCATTGTAATACACTGACAAACCAATCCACACGTCAGCCACTGACCAACCAATCCACACGTAAGCCACTGACCAACCAATCCACATGTCAGCCACTGACAAACCAATCCATGTGTCAGTCACTGACCAACCAATCCACGTGTATATATTATTAACATTCATGCCATCACGTCAACCGATGAATATAAATCAAATTCACTTTCCTGAGACCGTGGATTCAACATGACAGAAATCCGCCCAAATCGTTGTGAGGAAAAGGGGAGTAAGAGCATATAACCACTAGGCTACCCCACCGCCCCAGGAGAGTAAACAATAATCTTTCGCCTTTCTTATATTGGAGATTCAACCAGATTGAGCATCGTAGTAAGTGTTTTGAGCAAAGGATTAGTAATAACATTCAATTATTTAAATAATCCATTCAGGTGTTCAACCAGTTTGGTCTAATGGTTAGTGCCCCACCTTGAATAGCGGAAGGCCAGTAGGATGTAGGATGGACAAGAATAGATTTGGATCAGTGCCCATTTAAAAGATGGTGTATGTTGTTACCCTGCCTGGTGCTCACAACTGTGGGGATAAAACAAGCTCCCTGTACTTTGTCTGTGTCAGCGTGCCGCATGTACACTCCATGGGTTAGAAATATATTGTAAATGGGTATTAGTCCGGACTGGTACAAACTGTCCCGCACACGCACACGCACACGCACACGCGTACATCCTCTCGCCATGATGTTCTTGATTAAATATGTGTGTGTTTGCGTGCGTGCGTTCGCGCGCGTGTGTGTGCAGTGTGAAACCGACAGTGTGAAGAAAATATATCTGTACCAAGGATCTTCAGAGTTTGCCCAAATCATATAAGGAAAATAGTCATCTTGAAAAGAAACAAGCACGATTATACCAGAGTTGAAAACGCAATTGTTATACCTATTAATTCTGATACTGAGGTTCATATTAAAGCTATGATGTTATGGACTCTGATGTTTAAAAAACCGTTTACACTGACATTTAACTTCAAATTAGGGATATGCACTAAACTTTTCATAACAGTATGCTGAAAAGTGTTTAAGAACCAGAAGCATTGAACTTGTTTTCACAAAGTATGCTAAAATGTTTGGAAGTTATTGTTTCAACCCAACATTGACAAAAGAACATAAATTACTGTCAGTTAAGTTATTTTAAAATAAAAATGAGTTACTGTGAATAATTCGTAACTGAAAACATCTCAGCTTGGTATCTGAAGTAGTCTTAAGTGGTTTTAAAAATATTTTGTCCCAGTCTAATTCAGAGAGAACACGTTGCTCCCATTTATATTTACATTTAAGGTATCACATGCATTCAAGATAAAATAATAACACTTTGCACTTTTCTTAATTGACAGCAGTTTCCTGACAACAAGATTATCATCCAGTTGGGCATGTTGTAAGATGTTGGTTTACTTATTTTCACTCTTAACTTGGTATTTCTTTATAGCCTAGATTAACCGTTAATAATGAAGGAAGTTGACATCAAGTGCAAAAGTGTATTGGAATTGCTCAAATGATAGGTAGTTTCCTTCAGGATTTATAAAGTCACGTACTTAGGTGAGACCTCTATCAAACCATTTAGAATATAAGAGAATTTCTTCACCAATGGTGATATCATAAAATTGTAACAGTTGTAAAAGACGGGTTCTCTTATCACAAATGAATCTTAATGGAAAACATTGTTTTTTACTTCTTCTCCTCACTACCGAAATCTAGGCATATTTGGCAGTACTTTTCCAGCTAAAGCATTAAATAAAATCAATAACGGGTTTTAGTTGAATGCTGTCTTTGCCTTAGTCCAGCATATAACTAGACGACTTTGCACTATACGAGTTTATTCATATGAACTATCTTTGCCTTTGATAAGTTCTCAGAGAAAATACAGCCTGAATCTTTTGATGACTTTATAACGTGTGGATTAGTATAATGCTGTAAAACGCACTTTAGCTTCTCAAAGGGCAGTGAGACTGCACAAATGTGAACTATCTCAAGTCCGATGGAGGTTTGATATTTTTGTCATCCGGCAATGAATACCGAGAATTTGTACGACACTTCATTTATGACGGGTGGTCTCTTTTTGTCAACAAGAGTTATCTCCCATTGACAGACATAACTGGATCTATTAATTGTGCGCGCAAATAACTGTGCGTCTTAAGATATTAGTATACGGAACCCAGTCTAAGCATGGAGTAATCATTTTTCAAAATATTTTTTTCTAATGCATAGTTCACCTATCTATAGTTTAATCTATTTAAAGAACTGGGATTATTAGTTATTTTGTTTTGTTAACACCTTAGGAAAATAATTGCAGACTGTTCGTGCTGTGGGTGTTTCTGACTGAAATAATTGGTAAGAAAATAACTACTCATTTGGAAATGGCGGATTTTGTGGAGACAATAACATGAACGTCCATACATGTTAACATTACGGTGGGAAACCTTTGTTTATATCAGCAGACATTAGAATATATCATCATGTCAGATACTTGGGATGATATCCAGGCTGTGAAAAGCCGACATAACTCTCTCCGAGCGAAGCTTCAGCAGAGGAAGAGAGAACGAGAAGGTTTGGTTGCTGAATTGAAGTCACCTGCATCAACAAGTGCCTCAGCAGCTAGCACCGTAACAACACCCGCAGGTATGGCCTCACTGTGTAAATAACATCATGATGGGAAGTTTGATTAGTGGCTCACTGTGATCCTCAGGTACATGGGCTGAGTAACTTTGTCAAGTTATAAAATTATTCTACTAATCTTGAGGTCCTGATCTTGGTATGACAGAAGTATGCCGATGGAACAAGATAATATTACCATGATTACTGAAATCAGCATGGTCACTGAATATGGTTAAGTTTATGAATTCGATGGACATCATCGATAATGTTCAGTACCATGATTATTGATGTATGCACATTTTCTGTGGACACCCCCAATTGTCGTGGTATAGCAAACTGCAATCTTACTAGCACAGTTAACTTAAATATGTTTACTTCCAGGGTACATCTTGTATTTTAGTGCTCATCATACTAGATTCATAGCCTGAATGACTCCATGATAACAACAAAATATCAAGGGACAAAATAACCAAAAGTTACCCTACAAACTAGGAATGTTTCTTGATATAGATAATAGAGATCGATAACCATTTATTAAACCATGATTTACTAAATTTAGATCGATTATCGATAATTTTCGGAGAAGTAACATTGAGCAAAAAAGAAAAATGTTTGAAAGAAATCATCACTGGCAAGTGGTGACATTTTCATACATGGATTACAAACAAAACAACTTCATGAACATATATTACATAATCTAGATGCAGTTTATAAATAAAGACGTAGCTTTGTGTATTGTGTGTGTAAATATAAACTATGTTTCATAACAATAGTTTTTATGATGATAATATTGATGAATAGGACTGGGACGATACACTATGTCACGATACAATACATATCGCAATATTTTACCTGCGATACGATACGTATTACGATACATACACCTCGAAAGAATGACACAGTATAAAGATGCCAAATTATTTGTTTCAAGGTATTTGTGTATAACAATAACACTATTGTGATAAGCAAACAATTAACTCTATCATACTTGCGTATTTTTCTCTGTATCAAACTTTAATGTATGGTGATGTATCGGTGAATCGTCCCAGCCCTATTGATGACTCCATTTTCATGTCGATAATCATTGATAATTCTTCCCATTGACGATATTTTTGATTATCAATCTTTTAGCTAGCCCTACTACAAACTAAAGGATCCATGACAACTTGTCATAATGAATGGTTTCAGAGTCTTCATCAAGCTCGTCCCAGGTGAGTGCGACTGCCAGTACCTCTCAAACTCCATCAACAACCAGGAGTGTCAGTCCGTCTCCACCCTCACAAACAGCAGCTGAAGCAGCTGCCAAGAAGCCAGACTCTGTTGACCCTGATGTGGAACGGAACCTGCTGCTGGTCTTATGTGACTTCAACCTCGAGATCCCCTCTGATTCACGCATGATAACAGATCTCACAACCAAGATGTTGGGAAGAGAGAGACACAGCTGTCTTGCATTGAGGAATTGTTACAGAAATTTGCTGCTCAACAGATGATCAAGTGAGTGGGAGATGTTAGTTTCAGTCTGCGACTTAAGCCAAGTGTTTAAAGCCTGATTCCAGGAAAACTTCTCTTGGTCTAGTAAGTCCAATAGCAAACCATGGAAACATTTTATCATGTAAAGACAGAAAAAAATGAATCAGAAGATACTCTGGACTAGTTTATGTAAAATTGTTAGATAGTAACCACAGAGATGCTTTCCTTTGATAGCCAGAGTCAAAACTGATTTGATTGTTGTCTTTGTCACTCAATCCGTCAATGTTCATATATTATGTTACTAATCTTGAGACCCATGAAGATCCGGGTTAGAATTGATCTTCAGTAACCCATGTTTGTTGTAAGAGGCGACTAACAGGATCGGGTGGTCAGGCTTGCACTGACTTGGTTGACAGATGCTCATGCTGTTGATCACTGGATTGTCTGGTCCAGATTCAATTATTTACAGACAGCCGCCATATAGCTGGAATATTGCTGAGTGCGGCGAAAACTAAACACACTCACTAATCATGTAAATTTTAATAATCATAATGGTGTTGGTAGTTAAGTAGTGTGTGGTCAGTTTGTATGGCTACCATTAAGGCACCACTGGTTACCATGGTTGTATACATCATTGCTGGTTCCAATATGAATATGTTGGCAAAAACATAGTCATCATGTTTATTGATCAGCGTTATAACTAACATGATCATGATAAAAGTTTTCAGACCATGAGATTGAACTGAAAAATCGGAAAACAATTCATTTAATCAATTTTGTTTCATCATGTACAAGCAATTACACATAATTATCATATCAACTATATTTTTGTTTCAGAATTTCCACTAAAGATCAAAATCTAGTTGTCAACCACTAAAGATCAACTCGCTGGATCTGGCAAAGGTGGGTAGCAGTCTCTGTATCATAGTGTATGCTCTCTGTGTATTCATCCTCTGTCTTTCTTTACAATGCAGTGTAAAACAATGACACATGAAGTTCATTAGTCCAAACAGGCTCAACGTAAAAACACTTTTCCATGCTTGCTTGTCCTGATGAACAAGAGGTAACATTGACTTCAGAGTTGTGTAGTTTAGGTTGTTGAATGACTTGTGACAAATAATCAAGGTCTCTATCCACAAAGCATATGCAGCCTTATGACCTTACTCTATAGTCTAACAGGGCGATGGGGGTAGCCTAGTGGTTAAAGCTGTCCGCGCCATCAAGACCGGGTTCTCCCCACATGGGTACATTGTGTGAAGCTCATTTCTGGTGTCCCTCCGTATTGCTGGAATATTGCTAAAAGCCAAAAACCAAACTCACTCACTCACTCACTCACTATAGTCTAACAGGGGCTTACATGTTCCATCTCTCTGTCTCTGAATGCCTTGTAGATAGGGAACCAAGATAGGTAACTGCGCTTGTGTTGAATCATGAATAATGTTTTAGTTTAGATAAAGAAATCCAGCCAAGAATTTCTTGTCATATGCCATGTCAGGGTCAGAATATATCTACCCAACTTTCTAGTATTATGAGTACTGCACGTGAAGGTGTAGTAGGTTTGACAGTCCACTCGCCGTGCTAGCCTTGGGCTTACATCAAGAGTTTAGGTTATGATTGCATATATTCACCTGAAAGGCAATGGAATGAAAATTTGTTGAACATTCTGAGAAGACACTGATGCTAATCTACTTCCTTTTCAGTTGTCTGCATTTTCAGAGGGTCAGGATGGAAAGACGAAGAAACGGAAGAGAGACAGGTGGGACTCTTTGTGTTCATATTATAAGTTGTTCACTGGTCACAAGGGGGGCAGGGGCGGTGGGGTAGCCAAGTGGATAAAGTGTTTGCTCGTCACGCCGAAAACCCGGGTGCGATTTCTCAAATGGGTACAACGTGTTAGGCCCATTTCTGGTGTCCCCCGCCGTGATATTGCTGGAATATTGCTAAAAGCGGGCGTGAAACTAAACTACTCACTCATGAGGGGATATAGGTTGATGTACCTTTTATGTTTGTTTATGTCTACTAACACAATGTACCAAATGAATTCCCACAGTTCGGCATTCCCAGCGGGTAACATTTTTGAGAAAATGTTACTACGCTCCAAAACACTACTAACACGGGTACATTGATTGGTTCATCCAATCATAGAAACAACATTTATGATTGTGAGGTAGGATAAATGAAAATGTTGCTAACAATAAATGATAGTATTTGCACAAAAAAAGATTTGTCAGAATAAGTGAAGTTAACGATGTCTCCCATGTGGCTTCAAGCATATGAAATCTTGAATTATTTATTGATATGCCAATAGCTTTGATATGTTATAAAATGGAACAATCTGCAATATATTTATGACAAAAAGTGTAAATTGTATCATGCATGTCACTCTTGTAGATGTTGTGAGGAACATCAAACTTACCCTGTATATATTCCTGAGACTCTTATAACTTGGGTCTGTATATTATTTCAGTGAAGACGACACAGTTGTTCCTCAGTCGAAATGGGAAGTCGATCTCTCGTATCCGCTGTTGGTTGTGTGTGTGCTGTCTATTGTGTGACACTGGGATTATGCTGTCAACCTCTGGTTAACCTGTCACAAACATAATTATTCATAGACTGCCATGATATTGGTGGAATATATTCCAACATTAAACCACGCTCACTCTCTCACCTGCTGTAACCATGTCTGTGTGTTAAGTGTTGGGGGCGTGGGGTAGTCTAGTGGTTAAAGCGTTGGCTCGTCGCGCCGAAGACCCGGGTTCGAATCCCCACATGGGTACAATGAGTGAAGCCCATTTCTGGTGTCCCCCGCCATGATATTGCTGGAATATTGCTAAAAGCGGCATAAAACCAAACTCAGTCAGTCAGTCAGTTAAGTGTTGGTGTTTATGTTGCAGAGCCTGTTGTCTATGCAGTCTGCTAAGGAGAGGGAAGAGAAGAAGGTGAACGAGGAGATTCTACAGCTGCTGAGCAAACCCACAGCCAAGGTACAGGAATCCTGGAATAGTTACTGTTGCTGTAGTTATAATAATTTCACTGATAGATAATGTTTTACATTTATGAGTATTAGAAACATGTTTTGAGCACATATGATCTTTCATATGTCGGTAGTGGATAATAGCTACCTCATCAGAATTCACTTGGTTTGTTGGATAGGTAGCAACCATAACCTGAAACATGACATGCTGTTGTCATGACAGTGGATAGTTCTTTGAGGGGTACAAGTTTGTTCATAAACATAAAGATAATGGTCATGTTATTGGTCATGATGAGAGTGAAAATACATGTTTGAAATGGAAATGAGGTAAATCCTTAAAATTAAACTGAGTGAAATAGTATCAGTGTGTTCTGTTTTTGTTTCTTGGTTGATTTAAACATATTTATTTCCAAAGAAAGGAACCAGATTGGTAAACAAGCATAAGCTTATGTGAATACCGCTCCGGGTTACAATGGAAGGAAGAGTAAACATGTCATGATGAATGTACAATGTGAATGACATATAAATGCAAAACGTGTGTTTGCACTGAAAAATGAACGATGTCAAAGCGGTGTTCAAACAGTATTGAACGATATGAAGAAATTATTTTGAATCAAATCAGACATCGTTCAATTTATAAACGAGTGCAAACAAATTAACTGACATTCTTTGTTTACTAATTTCGCAATTTGAAGTATACACATAAGTTTTCCACCCAATCCTTTAGTATGATCATTGTTTAGTGTGTTTTAATACCTGTAAAATGTTGTAATGCCATTCGGTTCAAGAACGTTTCATGGTTATTGCAGCGATGTTTGTATACACTTCCGATTTTTCTTTTACACATGTATCCCAACCCTTGAAGAAATAGTTCTCAAAGTATTCGATCTTTAAAATATAACAACAAATTCTTATGAGGTTTGAAACTGCTTTAATAAGTATAATCAATAACATTATCAAACAGAAACAAATATCAGAAGCAATAACAATACCATTTTAACAAACTGGCATTGTACCTTTTCACTAGTAAATACCTTGTTTGACTTCGTAATTAATAATACACTGACCGACTTCGTATAACAATAGGAAACAGATCTTGTTGTATTCTTGGTTATTTGTGATTGTTTATTGTGAAATTTATTGAGCAGTTGTTAAACAGACCTCGGGGCAGAAAAACATATTCCGGATGAACCCGCAAAACTTCCCACATTAAACTCCTGTGAAAAGGAACAATGTTTCAATCCGTTTGGTAGTGACATTGCCAAACTTGGGGTGACTTGAAACAGGTTCGTTCGCAAAAATTGGTATCACCAATTATTGGGGGTCCTTGAAACCGAAGCGAAAACGCAATACATAATTTGTGTTTACACAAGTATGAACGATTAGAGGGGTTCAAGAGTAATGAACCTTGAAATTTAGATCACATGATCGCTCTCTCAACCAACCAACGTTCGGGAATCTGTGTAAACTTGAAAGCACGAAATTATTGACATATAAATGCAAAAACGAGAAATAACGCCAATCATTGTTAAACAGTATATGTGATATGAAGAAATTATTTTGGATCTAATCAGCCTGTTAAATTTATAAACGAGTGCACTGAAATTAAAAGTTCTTTGTTTACTATCGAGGAACAGCTTTGGTTTCCAAACAAAATTGATTTTAGGTCAAATCCTTTAGTATAAAAATACATAATTTGTTCTTGGTTATCATATTCTCCTAGACCTGCTGCACTTCCGGTTTTCTTCCCACATTGTGCTCACACACCAAGATACTACTGAAATAATAGTAAATGTGGCATTTTACAAAACTCTCTCACTCGTTAAAGTTATGTATGAACCATGCATTGAGAATCTTCTATTTCATTACAGGAACAATACATGGTGGACAAGTTCCGGTCTCGTGGAGGTAATGGTTTTCATGGATACAGTTGGGTTTTAAATTTAACAGTGGGTCATGACTGATGAACTGGAATGTCTGTTGAAGGCTGGATAGTGGTACTAGTGACAGGAATGTTGCCTAAATTTGTTTTTGTCTATCGTAATGTGGATGCCATAGCAAAAATTGACCGTTCAAACATGTTCACAGTATTTGCTGATTTTTATTTCAGTATTATGGTCTTACATTTAACAAATGAAACAGTAAGGGAACTAAACCGTCATTTTTGCGATATTAAGCAAAATATAATCTGTAGACCAAGAAATAAAAGCTCACTTCCTCTAAAAGAGTACCAGTATCTGTAAGCAGCTGTTAAGTTTTAAGGGGAAGTTTAGTGTGGATTGTTAAATGTCAGTTTGGTGTTAAGTGTCAGCTTAGTGTTAAGTGCCAGTTTAGTGTCAGTATAGTGTTAAGTGTCAGTTGAGTATTAAGTGCCAGTTTAGTGTTAAGTGTCAGTAGACCGCCTCCATGGTGTAGTGGTTAGAGCATCCGCCCGGAGAGCAGAAGGTCGCGGGTTCGATCCCCGACCGTGTCATACCAAAAGACGTTAAAATATGGTACTTGTTGGTCCCTGCCTGGCGCTTGGCATTGATGAGTACAACAAGGACTGGTCGGCTCGGAGTCAGTATAATGTGTCTGAGTGGGGTATTCATGCTTCACTGCGCCATGGTATCTCAGTGAGCTAGCACTATAAAACCAGCTTCAGTCTGGGCTAGTACAAGCAGCTGCACATACACATACACACACATGCACGTTGTCATATGAGCAAAATATTCTCAAGCACGACGTTAAGCCCAATTTCACCTCACCTCACCTAAGTGTCAGTATAGTGTTAAGTGCCAGTTTAGTGTTAAGTGACAGTTAGTGTCAAGTGTCAGTATAGTGTTAAGTGTCAGTATAGTGTTAAGTGTCAGTGTAGTGTTAATCATCAGTTTAGTGTTAAGTGTCAGTATAGTGTTAATCATCAGTCTAGTTTTAAGTGGCAGTTTAGTGTTAAGTGTCAGTATAGTGTTAAGTGTCAGTTTAGTGTTAAGTGTCAGTATAATGTTAGTGTCAGTTTAGTGTTACGTGTCAATATATTGTTAAGTCATCAGTTTAGTTTTAAGTGGCAGTAGTGTTAAGTGGCAGTAGTAGTGTTAAGTGTCAGTATAGTGTTAATCAGTATAATGTTAGTGTCAGTTTAGTGTTATGTGTCAGTATAGTGTTAAGTGTCAGTTTAGTGTTAAGTGTCAGTAAAGTGTTAAGTGGCAGTTTAGTGTTAAATGGCAGTGTAGTGTTAAGTGGCAGTATAGTGTTGAGTATCTGTAGTGTTAAGTGTCAGTTTAGTGTTTAGTGGCAGTATAGTGTTAAGTGTCAGTTTAGTGTTAAGTGTGAGTTTAGTATTAAGTGCCAGCTTAGTTTTAAGTGGCAGTGTAGTGTTAAGTGTCAGTATAGTGTGAGTGGCAGTTTAGTATTAAGTGCTCATTTAGTGTTAATTGGCAATTTGTGTCAAGTGGCAGTATAGTGTTAATCATCAGTTTAGTGTTGAGTGTCAGTTTAGTGTTAAGTGTCAGTATAGTGTTAAGTGTCAGTATAGTGTTAAGTGTCAGTTTAGTGTTAAGTGTCAGTATGGTGTTAGTGTCAGTTTAGTGTTAAGTGTCAGTTTAGTGTTATGTGTCAGTTGAGTGTTAAGTGTCAGTTTAGTGTTAAGTGTAAGTATGGTGTTAGTGGCAGTTTAGTGTTAAGTGTCAGTATAGTGTTAAGTGCCAGTTTAGTGTTAAGTGTCAGTTTAGTGTTAAGTGGCAGTATAGTGTTAAGTGGCAGTGTTAAGTGTAATGTTAATCATCAGTTTAGTGTTAAGTGTCAGTTTAGTGCTAAGTGTCAGTATAGTGTTAATTAGCAGTTTTGAGTCTGTAGTATCAATGGCAACAGGTCCTTTATTCAGTCAGTGTAACATTTCAGTATAGGTGCTTGTACCTGCATCAAGCAAGTTTTAAAGGTACAACCTACATGCATGATAAAGTTGCAAGCACACTGAAAGAATAAAGAAGTTGAAATCCTTAGGTCAACGCTCCTTCATCTGTACAGGAATTATTGATAGCATGCCAACATGTGAATTGTATGGTCGTGATGATGCGGGCGACGTGAGCTGCCTAGTTGAAACATGTTGTTGTTGTTGTTGTTACGGTCTACTCATATGAAACATTGCAGGGGTCCAGTTACAAGAGTTCTGCCAGTACGGAACGCGAGAGGAGTGTGTAAAGGTCGGCCAGAACCCAACACCTTGCAAAAAGCTGCACTTTCGCAAGATCATACACAAACACACCGATGGTGAGTAGCCTGGCAATACAGGGGCCATCTCCACAGATGGAGAGTCACCTCATTCAATTCATATTGCAAAGTATGTACAGAGTTACCTCCCTTATGTCATGCCAGAATCAGCTGTCTTTAGATCCCAGATTCACACAGATTATAGTCCTTCATTTGTCAGCACCATGTCCATGCTTGTTTCTTCACCGACAGGGACAATGGGGTAGCCTAGTGGTTAAAGTGTGATTAGCATGGTCAGGAAACGACATGCTCCCATGTGTACACGTTCCTATGTAATATAATAATCAGGAATGTAAGGCTTAACCCCAGTTTACCTCACCCTTCTTCTTACACATTTAGACTGAGTAATCAATGTGTATATTACATTACACTGAATAATAAAGCTACAGATATCTCTTTGTACTTTTCTTCTGTGTTTGACATTCAGTAGATCTAAAACAAGGAGAAATACTTCACTGTGAACTAATGCCACACAAGATATCAGGCTACTGTGAGTGATATTTTAAAGTAGTAACAAAAAAGAATCTGTGTGGAGGATGTGCTAACAGGGCTCCAGATAAAGGTCGTATCGACGCGTATGTACGGATAAAACATATGCACGTTACGGTAGGAAATAATTTAGAAAACGTAGCAGATATGCACCACAGCAATGGTGTATGGTCTTAGAATCATTTACAGACGTATTTATCTGAAAAAGTATCGTTTTATTGTTTATTGACCTGTTTACACAAGACTAGCAATGTTGTGGTGCATATGTGATGTACTCCTGATGTTGAAAAATTATCTGGAGCCCTGTGTAAATGATTGATGTTTTCTGTGTTGTAGAATCTCTGGGAGACTGTTCCTTCCTCAACACCTGCTTCCATATGGATACCTGTAAGGTATGTTGTCATTACACATGCAGGATATATTGCTGTTATACCTGCAAGGTATGTTGTCATTACACCTGCTGGATATGTTGTCATTATATCTGCAGGAAATGTTGTCATTACACCTGCAGGATATGTTGTCATTATACCTGCAAGGTATGTTGTCATTACACCTGCAAGGTATGTTGTCATTATACCTGCAGGAAATGTTGTCATTACACCTGCCAGGTATGTTGTCATGCAAGGTATGTTGTCATTACACAGAGCTCCAGATAATTTTTCAACATCAGAGAGTAATGTGCTCTCTAACTTGTTCAATATATGAGTACTGGAAAACCTTAAGTGTACATTGAAAGTACTGAAAGGAAATTAATGAACTATCAGTAATCTTGTGTTTCGTTTCATATATGCACAACAACATTGCTACTCTTGTGTAAACAGGTCAATAAACAATAAAACAATACTTTTCAGATAAATACGTCTGTAAATGATTCTAAGACCATACACCATTGCTGTGGTTCATATCTGCTGTTTTCTAAATTATTTCCCACCGTGATCGTGCATATTTTTTATCCGCATACATGCCAATACGCTCCCTTATCTGGAGCCCTGCATAATACACTTGCAAGGTATGTTGTCATTACACCCTGCAGGATATGTTGTCATTACACCTGCCAGGTATGTTGTCATTACACCTGCAGGATATGTTGTCATTACACCTGCAGGATATGTTATCATTACACCTGCAAGGTATGTTGTCATTACACCTGCAGGATATGTTTTCATTACACCTGCAAGGTATGGTGTCATTACACCTGCAGGATATGTTGTCATTACACCTGCAAGGGTATGTTGTCATTACACCTGCAGGATATGTTATCCTTACACCTGCAAGGTATGTTGTCATTACACCTGCAGGATATGTTGTCATTACACCTGCCAGGTATGTTGTCATTACACCTGCAGGATATGTTGTCATTACACCTGCAGGATATGTTGTCATTACACCTGCAAGGTATGTTGTCATTACACCTGCAGGATATGTTGTCATTACACCTGCAGGATATGTTGTCATTACACCTGCAGGATATGTTGTCATCATTACCTGCAGGGTATGTTGTCATTACACCTGCAAGGTATGTTGTCATTACACCTGCAAGGTATGTTGTCATTACACCTGCAGGATATGTTGTCATTATATCTGCAGGAAATGTTGTCATTACACCTGCAGGATATGCTGTCATTATACCTGCAGGATATGTTATCATTACATCTGGAAGATATGTTTTACATGATGGATACCTGCAAGATATGTTATCGTTATGGGTACCTGCAAGGTATGGTATGGTATGGTTATGTACACCTGTCAGGTGTGTTGTCCTTGTGATCAAGTGCAAGGTATATTATTGAGGATGCCTGCAAGGTATCATGTCAAATGTGTAAGGTATGTTATTGTCATGGATACTTGTAAGTTGTGCAGTCATTATGGATACCTCTAAGGTATGGAGGATATCGGACTGTTGCACTGAAGACTGCCCTCTGCTGCAGGTGTGCACCATGCTATACACATGATCCTGTTTACAGTACGTCCACTACGAGATTGACTACCCAGACAACCAGAATGAGATGGCACTGATGAAGAAGGAGGCGGCCATGTCTAAGTCCGGACCGGGGAGTGACGTGTACATGTACCCACCACAGGTCTGTAGAGCATCAAGGATGGGCTGGGCGACAATCATTGACTGCATCTGAAATTCTGTTTCAGGGGAAAAACCCCCCAGATAATTCTGACTCTCATTAATAATAAATTATATATTTCTGAAGCTGACCTGAGTAATTTTTCTGAATACTGACTTGTTCAAAACAATATTCTTTGCCAAAAGTAGAACTAGTCAAATATTGTGGGCAAATATGCTTCTTCTTTCGTGTGAGTTGTGTAATTGCCATAAGGGTTAGAGATAAGAGAGACAGAGGGAGAGGTACAAGAAGTTGACTATAAAAGTCATTTGCTTCAAATCTAACCACTCTCTGCCCTTGTATCACAGTGGATTCAGTGTGACCTGAGAATCTTTGACATGACGACGTTGGGCAAGTGTGCCGTTGTGATGGCCGATCCTCCATGGGATATTCACATGGAGCTACCGTACGGAACGATGAGTGACGACGAGATGAGGCGCCTTGATATCCCCGGCCTGCAGGACGAGGGCTTCATCTTCCTGTGGGTCACTGGAAGGTAGGTTACCGTCAACTTTCTGATCGACAAATCCTGACATTGTACACAAAGGTTCCTGATAATGAACCATACTGAATAGTGTATTTATGTTTTTTTAGAAATTAACCTAGCTTTTTCTTAGTTATTGTTGATATAACATTGTGGACATTGTCAGTTCAAACACATTAATCGCTTCTGTGTCTTTTGTTACAGAGCCATGGAGCTGGGGAGAGAATGTCTGGACTTGTGGGGGTGAGTTGTACACAGGACACAATGTAATGGAGACCCATGGGATGGGTCAGGGCAGGTTAGACCGGGATGTCTGTGTGTGTGGGGTGGGGTGGGGGTGGGCAATGCAGGATAGGCTCAGGTCAGGGCAGTGTAGGATTGGGGGGCAAGGTGGGCTGAGGGTCAGGGCAGGGTAGGTGAGGGACATTGCACAGTGGGCTGGGGGTCAGGGCAAGGTGGGCTGGGGGTCAGGGCAGGGTAGGATTGGGGTCATGACAAGGTGGGCTGAGGGTCAGGGGCAGGGTGGGCTGGGGTCATTGCAGGGTGGGCTGAGGGTCAGGGCAGGGGTGGGCTGGGGGTCAGGGCAGGGTAGGCTGGTGGTCAGGGCAGGGTAGGAGAGTGAGTCAATGCAGGATAGGCTGGGGTCAAGGTTATTTGGGGGACAGGATGAGGGTTATTTGAAACTTCTGTTAGTTGGCAAGACATGCATGTGTTTAAATGAGTTTGAATACATGTCTGTGAGGGATGGGGGATAGTTGGAGTCCTGGTATGATTATGACTGACTCCAGGTGATATAGCCCTGCACCATGAAGGCAGCTTACAGCCAGACACTGTTGTGTCAGTGTTGAAGGGACCTACATAAATACTCTCAGGTATCTGAGATTCAACTCAACAAATATATTTTCACTAAATTTGGAATATGCAGAGGGGCCGTAAGTTTGACACACCAAAGTTTGACTCAATGGTGTATGACAGGAGCTGTATATAATGAGATGAAAATCAGTTTAAATGATACAAATAGTCTCATTAACTATATATGATCAGGATTAGAAAAAAAGAAGCAGAAATAATAGGGAATTCATGGACTATATATAACTGTTGCTATGTGATTTTTCAGCTACAAGCGATGTGATGAGGTGATCTGGGTGAAGACCAATCAACTACAGCGTATCATCCGTACTGGTCGTACAGGCCACTGGCTCAACCACGGCAAAGAACACTGTCTGGTGGGTACAGATAAAACCGATTAATTTGAGCAATTATAAAACTTAGTATTTAAAGTTTTGTGTTATTGATTGATTATGGTTTTCATTACTGGTTTTTCAAACATCATAGAGCATTACCAGTAATATAGCATGGCAGAGGATACCAGTAATGGGTTCACACTCCAAGTCCTGTGATCTTGGGAATAGAACCTATATCCAGCAACAGTGCTGGCGTGTAAAACAGGTGAATACTTTAACCACTAGAATAGAACCTGTAGAATCTATCCTCAGCCATATTTTTTATGACATGTGTGAATGCTTTTTCTAAATTATTTCATTAGATTTTTAACCACTAGAATAGAACCCGGGTCCTAGCTGACGCAGAATGAATCTTTAACCACCAGAGATAGAACCCGGTCCTCATCGGTGGCCAGTAGTCAGAACCCGGTCCTCAGCGTGACTAGTGTGAATGTTCCTCAGCTCGATAGTGAATGCTTTAAGGACAGAATAGAACCTGGGTCCTCAGCGTGACGTGTGAATGCTTTAACCACTAGAATAGAACCTGGGTCCTCAGCGTGACGTGTGAATGCTTTAACCACTAGAATAGAACCTGGGTCCTCAGCGTGACGTGTGAATGCTTTAACCACTAGAATAGAACCTGGGTCCTCAGCGTGACGTGTGAATGCTTTAACCACTAGAATAGAACCCGGGTCCTCAGCGTGACGTGTGAATGCTTTAACCACTAGAATAGAACCTGGGTCCTCAGCGTGACGTGTGAATGCTTTAACCACTAGAATAGAACCTGGGTCCTCAGCGTGGCGTGTGAATGCTTTAACCACTAGAATAGAACCTGGCGTGTCCTCCAGCCTGGGTGCGTGCGTGTGAATGCTTTAACCACTAGAATAGAACCTGGGTCCTCAGCGTGGCGTGTGAATGCTTTAACCACTAGAATAGAACCTGGAATGCTCCTCAGAATAGAACCTGGCCGTGCGTGAATGCTTTAACCACTAGAATAGAACCCGGGTCCTCAGCGTGACGTGTGAATGCTTTAACCACTAGAATAGAACCTGGGTCCTCAGCGTGACGTGTGAATGCTTTAACCACTAGAATAGAACCTGGGTCCTCAGCGTGACGTGTGAATGCTTTAACCACTAGAATAGAACCTCCCTCAGGTGCTTTAACCACAGCCGTGTCCTCAGGCTTGACGTGTGAATGCAGCGTGTGAATGCTTTAACCACTAGAATAGAACCTGGGTCCTCAGCGTGGCGTGTGAATGCTTTAACCACTAGAATAGAACCTGGGTCCTCAGCGTGACGCAGTGAATGCTTTAACCACTAGAATAGAACCTGGGTCCTCAGCGAATGGCGTGTGAATGCTTTGAATGCCACCACTAGAATAGAACCTGGGTCCTCAGCGTGAATGTGAATGCTTTGACCACTAGAATGAACCTGGGTCCTCAGCGTGAAATGCTTTAATCACTAGAATAGAACCTGGGTCCTCAGCGTGGCGTGTGAATGCTTTAACCACTAGGTTACTCCAACCTAGCTAACTTACTATATTGAACCTATCTGTGGAGCTGTATAAACACCCATGAATATTTACCCAGGGTGTGATTGGATGATAAGATGCCCGATATAATAATATCGGATGTAAAAATTCATATCAATACAGTAGTTTTATTTCACTTAATATTATCACCCTTTTCTCAGCTTAATCACATCCCTGAATCATTTGTTTGTAGATTTCAGACAGCGAAGATGCCGATATTGTAGTATGGCTGAAGACCAATTCTAACTCGGATCTTCCTGGGTCATAAAAGGGAGAAACATCCTGGAGATGGACTGGTTCCAACATGTGAATAAACCTAGTGGTTATACTGACTGCCCTAAGTCCGATCCCCACTTGGGTACAGTGTGTTTGTTTGTGGTGCCACCTCTGTGATAAAGGAATATTGCTAAAGCGTGTAAAACAAACTCAACTCACTCGTGTGAGCCGATATGTATGGCTGGAACATTCCAATGGACAACCATAAACAATACTGACTGCCCTGTCCCATGTTTGTTCAGGTCGGAGTGAAAGGAAATCCTAAAGGTGTCAACAAGGGCCTTGACTGTGATGTCATCGTGGCTGAGGTGAGTAGACGCTGGTCATGTATGATGTTGAGCCAGCTCGCAGGGTGTTCAAACAGGAACCTCATGTCATGAGGACAACATTTGTCTGTGACTGGTTGTAAATTGAACAATATGATGATAGCTGTCAGCTGAATTGAATCTGTAGAGAGATGAGACATCAACAGCCTTAAGTTCCAAGTTCTCATGACTATGATAAGCTTTGTCTGATATTGGTTGCAGTTAACATCGTTATCAGAGAGGCAATTGTCTGGGACCAGGAAGTGTTATGTTGACAGAGTAGACTGTAGAGATTAACGTCCAGCTGCAAGTCTGATGAGATTGTTAAGAGACTGCTTGATACCAGGAAGTGTTTTTGTACAAAGAAGCTGTTTGTCTGTTAAGGTATGAGCCAGTCACTATTCAAGTGAGATTTATGGCATCATAGAGGTTAGTGCTCGATACCAGGAAGTGTTTTCTACAAAGAGAGTTGTCTGTTTAGATTCGAGCAACAAGTCACAAGCTTGATGAGATTTTTTGTATCATAGAGAGACTGTCCCCGTTACTAGGAAGTGTTGTCTACAAGAGAGTTGTCTGTCTGTAGGTTCGAGCAACAAGTCACAAGCCTGATGAGATTTATGGTATCATAGAGAGGCTCTCCCCGGGTACCAGGAAGTGTGAGCTATTTGGCCGACCCCACAATGTACAACCCAACTGGTAGGTGGTACACCTGCATAGTCAAACCTCAAGTCACAATTGTTTATTAAAGTCAAAGCTTTAACACAAAAATATGTATGTTTAGTTTAAGGATGTATAACATGCCTACTGAAGTCCAGATTTGATGCTACCCGTGAAGATCCAGGTTAGAATTGATCTAAAGTAACCCATGCTTGTCATAAGAGGCCACTAACGGGATCAGGTGGTCAGGCTCGCTGACTTGGTTGACACGTCATCGGTTCCCAATTGCATAGATCGATGCTCCTGCTTTTGATCCCTGGATTGTCTGTTCCAGACTCAAATATTTACAGACCGTGCCCTATAGCTGGAATATTGCGGAGTGTGGCATGAAACTAAACTCACTCAGTCACTCTATATTTGATGAGATGGTTTGAATATTTAAACTTTATTATCGATGTCAGGTGAAAACTGTTTTAGAAGTCACTGTTGTTCTAAAGATTGGAACCAGTGAAGGTCTGTTTTCAGAATTGGTCTTCGGCAACCCATCCTTCTTGTAAGAGAATTGGGTGGTCAGATTTGCTGCCTTGGTCGACACATGTTATTGTATCCCAAGTGATAGATTGGTGCTCAAGATGTTGATCACTGGATTGTCTGGTCCAAACTTGATTGTTCACAGACCACCACCATATAGCTGAAATATTGCTGACTGCAGTGTTATTATCAACAAACAAACAAAAGTCTCAGGTTATGTCCAAGCTGATATGACAGAAATAAAGTTCCAATCTGAATCAACATGGAGATGTAACATGAATGTGTTATTTAATCCTTTCCATGATCCATTTGTCATGCTGCTTGTTTGTAGGATCACCCTTGGCAACCAGGTGGAAGGTGTGAGGTTGAAGGATCCAGATGTCGTCAAAAATTTCAAGGAGAAATATCCTGATGGTAATTGCTTGACACCACCCAAAAACAGGTGATAACGCCCGGGACCTCGCGTGGACTAGGTACTGATGAGCAGGTAACATGGGATTCATCTAGCCTGCTGATGGAGATAAGAGAAGGAACAGCCAATCAGCTTCAAGCTTGCTTGGATGAAGCCAATCAGATTGAAGCATTCCCAGTATCACATTCAAGCCCTTTGGTTCAGGAAACATATACTGAATCATGTTTGCCATGATTTTGTATTTCAATGAGACACTCACAACAGCCCAGTGCTTGTGTAAGTTGCGGAATTCCTACAACTGGATGTAACTTGTACATACCAGCTCGCTGTGTTGGTGGAAGATGATGATGTACATGGTGATGATAATGATAATAAACATGAACATGAAGAATAATGTTTGTGTTGCTGAAATAAGTCTATGGATGAAATCACTAGGTCTTGTAACACAAAAATACTCTTGTTAAGATAATATGTAGTAGTAACATGACGATTCACTTCACGCATCACCAGCAAGATTTGCACCATGCCATACATGATGTATTTGTTGTATTAATGATTCAGATTTTGACGTGTATCGATTATATTATTTTGATGTTGCACCAATTCTCATATAAAAACTGTTAATTAAAGCCTGTTTATAATCTATGACGAATATGAGAGCGCCCACATAACAAGTCTGGCTACTTTTACATTTTTGCCTGAGATTAATACATTTTGCCAAATATGATTAGATAACACCAGACCATCGTAGTGACCAGTGCCAATCAGAAACACCGAAACACACGTCGGCACCGTGATTCCAAAAGTAGGGTCGTGGATTTTGCTGAAGGCGAGTTTGAGAACCCCAGGCATAATGAGAGCCTGTAGTGTCGGAGTACTGTATTGGGACAGAGTACTTTGGGTGCATTTGCTAAGTTGCATTCTGTGTGTCATAAACTTATTACTAAATTTGTGAAAATGAGAAAACATTTGCTGTTGATAGTTTATCTGCACTGACACCTTTACAATATTAGGTCTTTTCTTGGCTTCCTGTGGTGAAGGCGAACATGCGTTGTCCAATTGTCCAAGTCGCCACAGTTTGCTGTGCAGAGTTGCCTCCCTTGAGCTTGTCCAGTATATGATTGTAGATTCAATCGTGGTTCAACCTGATACTGCATCAAGATTTGTCAGCACTCGTGGGTTTTACAAAGTACTTACCTTCATGGCAGTGTTTACTCACTCACTCACTCACACCGGTCTTGATTTTGTTGTGATTAATAATAAAACAGAAGATGGTCATTTAAAGAGTAGACTGACATCTGTCTCTGAAACGAATATATTGTACAGAGAAACAATTCTCTCTCTTAAATTAACTTAATAAAATATAAAAAGGAACCAAGAAACTTCCTTCAATTTCAGAAACAGAAGTAATTTGGACATATAGACTTGCATGAGCGTTCATGGATATATACTCACATGCATAAGAAACGCAAGTTTTTTTTTATCCAAATAGGAAGCAAACTAAATTGATATGCGTTTTCGTCATATAGTGAAGGCTGATGGTGTTTTCAATATTTTTTGTTGCGTTTTGGAAGGATCGAATAACACATCAAAAGAAGAATCACCAAAACGGACCACACCCATGAGGTGAGGTGAAATTGGGTTTAACGTCGTGCTTGAGAATATTTCGCTCATATGACGACGTGCATGCGTGTGTGTGTATGTGTATGTGCGGCTGCTTGTACTAGCCCAGACTTAAGCTGGTTTTATAGTGCTAGCCCACTGTGATACCATGCCGCAGTGAAGCATATGAATACCCCACATGAATACCCCACTCATGAATACCCCACTCAGACACATTATACTGACTCCGGGGCCGACCAGTCCTAGTTGTACCCATTAATGCAGAGCGCCAGGCACCACACCAATGAACATGTGGGTATCACATGTATACTGTATACTCGATGCGTGTAAGCATATTTGTTTCAGAGGCTGTATGGGACTATACAAACAGGTATATCTGAGATGTATTTCAACGACAGTTTTCAGCATAATAAGGTTTTGATTTTGGAAAAATCCAATTATCAATTGTCCATAAGCTTTTCTGCGTAAGTTGGGGAGTGCTCTAAATTGGTGTGTCCCACCTGGAGAAGAATAAGATAAACTGAACAAATAATAATAGTGATAAATACTTGATTTTTGTTGCATGTTTTATTTATTTTTTCCACTGGAACATGACAAGGATGTACATTCATTGCAGGGGCGGATCCAGGATTTTGGTGAAGGGGGTGCACATAAACCATGAAGTCCAAAGGTTAGGGGGAAATGCTTCTCAGGGAATCAGGGAAAATTGTTTCGGGGGAGTTTGTGCGCCCCCTCTGGATCCGCCCCTGCGTTGATCCCGTCCATGAAGTATATTTTTCTCAAACTCTAATACTTGTAAATAACAAATGGACATATCACAGACACATATGTACATATCACAGGAAATAAGATGCGACGGTTGGAACATGACAGCTTCAACTGTCTCCATGATGCCAATTGATAAGAAGTAACCTTTTAGATGATGACTTCGTGTTCTGGGCCCCGTTCCTCAAAGCGATCGTAGCGCTACGACAGTCGTAAGTCTATGTTAAAGTATGGGAATTACGATCACCTTAGCGCTACGATCGCTTTGAGGAACAGGGCCCTGATTATTTCCTGTTTTGTTTGTTTGTTGTTTAACGCCACAGTCAGCCATTTTCCAGCTATATGACAGCGCCTACATAGTCGAGTCTGAACCAGACAATCAGGTGCTTGACATGAGCATCGATCTACGCAATTGGGATATGATGACATGTGTCAGCCATGTCGGTGAGCCTGACCACCCGATCCCGTTAGTCGCCTCTTACGACAAGCATGGGTTTCTGAAGATCAATTGTATCCCGAATCCTCACTGGTAGTTTATTTCATGTGAGGATAACGGAGACAGAACCTTCAGTTCCAAAGGCAGTCATGTCCATCGTCAAACAGAAACACTTCACACCCTCCCCTACTCTTAGAGGAGGGAGGCTGTGTGCAGCCAAGTGGTTATTATGTTCACTTTAATATGCTGAGAGTTGCCCATTTTAGGCATCCCGGGCAGTGTCATTGATGGAATACTGTTAATACTTGCGAACACCCAACCTCAATCATTGTAGTTGCTAGGTTCAATAAGAGTCTTTCTGAAATACTGAATGTTACACCATAGTCCGCAGAATGTACATTTGTTTATGCAGCTCTTCGGAAAAATATACATGGGGCAGTGGGGTAGCGTAGTGCTTAAGGAATTCGCTCTTCACGCCGAAGACCCAGGTTCGATTCCCCACATGGGTACAAAAAGTGAAACCCATTTTTGGTGTCCCCAGCCGTGATGTTGATGGAAAATTGCACAATGCGATGTAAAACCATACTCACTCACTCGGAAAAATATAAACTTCAGCACTCCATGATTTTTGGCTGTGGACTGAATAGTCATGGAGAACCTGCTTATGTTGACATAAACTAACTGAGCTAGTAAACAGTAGACATGTTGATCTCAAACTAAAAATCTGCTCCCCTTGATCTTGAAAAGCATTTGGTTCCTCCGATACGACATCTTCTTTGCCATCATGGTTGTCACCCACAGGAGTCATTAATGAGTCTCCCTTTGTTTTGATGGCATTATACTCCTAGGCCAAATGTAGAGATAACATCATTATCAGGTAATTTGATACACCAGGCCTTATCACCCATACTGCATATCCTGACCATGTTGAACATCAGTGCTTGTCACCGTCCATTAAACCATGCGGTTATTACTCATGCAGTTGGTCTATGAACATGCGGACACTGTTTCAACAGCCGGGTAATCCTTGTTTGTTTTCAGCAACCTGATACATTCTGTGTCTTGTTCCACATTGACAAGAATCTCTGGAGGGTGGGAGTTGTCATACCAATTACTGGATAACGCTTTTACTGCTGCTGAGAGATCCTAAAAGATAGGGACTTTTCTAACATTTGGCCTAGGACTAATTACACACTGTCAACATGTTCTCGAATAACGATCACGATCCACATGTAACAATTCTCTTGTCCCCTCCACCACACCACTGCCAGGCGTTATGAACAACAGCTGCTTTTCTTAACAGGTTTCGGAAGATTGTCTTCTTGAAGCCATGACTGTGTCAGACTACTTTCCCGGTATCCCTTCAACAGCTTGACCCCCATCGACGACATTGCCTCTCCTACACCATCGCCTGCAACAAACATCTACATGTAGTTCAGTGTGTGACCGAATAAAACTTGTCAGAGGCAGGTATATGTGTCTTCACGCACGCACACAAACATTGAAACTCTACCTACCTATATAGGTTATCTGTTAGATAGCTAGCTAAAAGCGACGTAAAACTAAACTCACTCACTCCAGTGTTAGAGGATTGTCGGGCATTAAAGGCCCACGGTAGAGGGTCAGTATTGACCTCTGTGGGGTCATTAACATCTTTAAAGTCCTACCAACCCTCTCACTGTCTCGCTGACGTCCTACCTGTCTTGGCTGAGATGAGGTAGGCGCTGTCGCAGTTGTGGCTCATACCGAAGTTATGGACACTGCTTTTGTCCACGTAACTTTCGAGGTCGGTCTTGTTGCCTATTAGGAACTTCAGAGCTGAAGAAGACATGGCAGCGTGTATGTTGGTAGTTTGGGATAGGATTTAGTTATTTCTTCACGAAAATGTAAAAATACATTCTAGTTATTTTACGATGGACTGTAAATATCGAACAAATTGGTGGTTGATATAAAGAACATATCACCGTCATGTTTGTTGTTTAAGGCCGCACTCAGAAATATTGCAGCTATATGGCGGCGGTCTGTAAATAACTGAGTCGGGACCAGACAATCCAGTGATCAACATTATGAGCATCGATCTACGCAATTGGGACATTTGCAAATTGGGACAAGGTCAGCGAGCCTTACCTCCCGATCCCGTTAGTCGCCTCTTACAACAAGCATGGATTGCTGAAGACCAATTCTAAAACCAAATCTTCACGGGTCTTTCATAATGGCATCCGTAAAATAATCCACTTGAGAGTCTAGACCAAGTAAAGCATTGCAAACGTGGCAACGACCCACGACGTCAGACGACGCTGACGTGCAACCATCCAACCTGCGGTCGCCTACCTCCAGATCCAATTTACCGGTACGAAAAATACGAAAAATAATATCCTGCTTGATACCTCTTCTGACAGGGTCAGAGTCACGCGGTCAGCAGTAGGACACTGAACGCTAAGAACCGGTATATCGGACAACATTAACTCGTTTGCTCTTTTGGCTATTTTAAATCGAAACGGATGCAAAATGTCTAGATGTCTAAATTAAGCCCCGAAAGATATATGAGATTACGCGAAGGTTAAAATACACCAAACCTTCGCTTCCGTTTCACGGCATGTCATATTTCATAATGAATTAGATAGATCCTAAATTAGGGAAAGTAACAGTAGGTTCATCGCTCACCTGTGGGGTGAAAGTAGGCATGGGTGCATCACTGACCTGTGGGGAAAGTAGGCATGGGTGCATCACTCACCTGTGGGGGAAAAGTAGGCATGGGTGCATCACGCACCTGTGGGGAAAAAGTAGGCATGTGTGCATCACTCACCTGTGGGGGGGAAGTAGGCATGGGTACATCACTCACCTGTGGGGGAAAGTAGGCATGGTCGCATCACTCACCTGTGGGGGAAAAGTAGGCATAGGTTAATCACTCACCTGTGGGGGAAAGTAGGCATAGGTTAATCACTCACCTGTGGGGGGGGAAGTAGGCATGGGTAAATCACTCACCTGTTGGGGAAAAGTAGGCATGGGTGCATCACGCACCTGTGGTGGAAAGTTGGCTTGGGTACATCACTCACCTGTGGGGAAAAAGTAGGCATGGGTACATCACTCACCTGTGGGGGGGGAAGTAGGCATGGGTGCATCACTCACCTGTGGGGAAAAAGTAGGCATGGGTGCATCATTCACCTGTGGGGGAAAGTAGGCATGGGTGCATCACTCACCTGTTGGGGGAAAGTAGGCATGGGTACATCACTCACCTGTTGGGAAAAAGTAGGCATGGGTGCATCACTCACCTGTGGGGAAAAGTTGGCATGGATGCATCACTCACCTGTGGGGAAAAGTAGGCATGGGTGCATCACTCACCTGTGGGGGGGAGTAGGCATGGGTGCATGACTCACCTGTGGGGGAAAAGTAGGCATTGGTGCATCACTCACCTGTGGGGAAAAAGTAGGCATGGGCGCATCACTCACCTGTGGCGGAAAAGTTGGCATGGGTGCATGACTCACCTGTGGGGAAAAGTAGGCATGGGTGCATCACTCACCTGTGGGAGGAAAGTAGGAATGGGTGCATCACTCACCTGTGTGGGGGGGAGTAGGCATGGGTGCATGACTCACCTGTGGGAGGAAAGTAGGCATGGGTGCATGACTCACCCGTGGGAGGAAAGTAGGCATGGGTTCATCACACACCTGGGAGGGGGGGGAGGCATGGGTGCATCACTCACCTGTTGGGGGAAAGTAGGCATGGGCGCATCACTCACCTGTGGGGGGAAAGTTGGCATGGGTGCATGACTCACCTGTGGGGGCGAAGTCTGCACTGTCCTGGGACCATTTGGCGAGGTAGGAGAGTGTGTGTGGGTTGTTGACGTCGTACATGAGGACGACTGCGTGTGCGTTGCGATAGTAGTTGCGGGTCAACGTCCTGAACCGCTCGACTCCAGCCGTGTCCCACAGCGAAAGCTGGAAAATAAGTTGAAAGCTGCTTGACAATACAGCGTGTAATGTGGGCCTATGCTGTCTACAACGACTGGTTGATGAGGATTTAACTCATAACAGGTAGACTCAACAAACAGTTAGTGAACGATTTAAGAAAATCATGTGAACGATTTCACGTCGAACTCTAATTTACACAGTGAACGCTTTACGGCGGTTATTCAATAAAGTTTCCAGTGACAAGTAGTCTGTCTCACAGTCAGTGAACCACATTAATTTCCCTACTGCCAAGCCCTCTCTGCAGTGCTAAAGCCCTAAATAAAGCAAGTCTAGATTTCCTCAGGTTCAGGTTCTGAATCTCTGGTCTCCCTGGGGCTCCTTTTCAATATAAATGGGCTTGTTTGTTACTATCAAAATTATATATATTCAGAGACTAAGCCTTAGTCTAAGGGACAAGGTGTGCTGTACTGCCCCAAAATAGTGTATTCACAGAGAAACCATTTAGAGACATCCGTATTTCAGTCACGTAAAGCTGAATCAACTTGATAATTTTTTTCACCATTTTTTTGTATTACATACTAGTAATTAAATTTCTTAACGTGCGGATTCTCTCCGTCAACTTCCATAACAGAGTGGCAGTGGTTTGTATTCTTAACTTTTGTTTCAAAATGATCATATCAGTCGAGAAACAGATACTAGATGTGTGTGGCATCACTTTGGACGGCTCATTAAACGAGACACATACTCACCCCCGTGTGAGCATGTCTACACCTATCTAAGCAGTGCCGTGAAAGTGTGGTTTCATTTATCAGATCATCATCTATACTCTTAAAAAAACAACAACTCATATGTGATTTTGAGAATATTGGACTCATGTAGCTGCGGCAAAAACAACACAAATCTACTCTTTCTTTCCAAAACGTCATCTTTGGGCTTCAGCGCCAAAACGCGGCAATTTGAACTTGTCCCCTTGTTTTAGAAGTGTTTGAAGAAAAATTCGCTAATACGTCACCAAGAAAACATGCAAAGCAAAAAGCACGTGCAAGTAAGCGGAAAACCATGGGGTATCGATCATTTTCTAAAAAGGTAAACGTTGTGTTTAAGTTTGTCATTCGTTTTTGCCTGGAAAAGAGGAAATCATCAGGCCACGACTGAGTGCCGTCAATCGAAAAATCGCCATAGACCACCTTGAAGCTGGGGAGTCGCAGTCTGCAGTTGCCCAACATTTCAACGTTCACCAGAGTACCATATCTCGCATTTGGAAATTGTTTCCTGCAGACCAATTCCGCCCCAGAAGCGGCCGTCCTAGAGTTACCCACCAAGCCCAAGACCGCTACATCCGGGACATGCCCTAAAATGTGTTTTCACATATTAAAATATCAAAAACTTAGAAAAATAAGGGGTAGTGGAACGTTATTTGATTCAAACATTAACTGCCCGTGTTATGTCATCAGCATGCACGGTATTGACAGGTGAAATTGACACCTGAGCACAAGCTCGGGTGAGGGGTCATCTCAATACATTTTTTTCTTCATAATGAAGATTGGTTATGTAAGGGATTATGTGATATCCACATTTCGCACACCAACAACACGCACGCACGCATGGACGTGTGTGTGTGTTTGTGTGTGTGTGTTTGTTTTGAAATAAACATACGAATTATTGTGCATGAGAAAGAATCCCATCACTTGTGTTATCTTATCGATTGATTGTAGAAATGTGCAACGTTTTAATAAATGTTTTGCATGTCAACAGTATATTTCTTTGCAAAAATATGGATGTAATTCGGTCACTTTAATCCAGTTGTGAACATTGGCCAAAGATTTAACAAAGTCACTGGTATAGCTTCTCTAGAACAGATGTATTGTCAGCGATGAGATCTGGCTATGTCAAGTAGAAACGGATGAGCAATGATAACTTTTTATCTTGTTGTTTGTTTGCTGAAGAGTCACTGTATGGAAATAATCAAATAAACAAAGTAAACTTATGATGGCCCGATGTGTATAAAACCAACTGTGTGAACGAGACTTAAACTCGATGCAAGTACAAATTTTATTCAGCTATAACAGACATTGGAATGAAGACCAGTAGAACACTTAATCCGAATGTGACGAGTCTGAATCCGTGTCCTCATGCACGGGGATCACAACAGGTGTCACAACACTGATGTCCACTCCGTCACGTTGACGGTATTGGCGTTCAATGTCAATGACGTGGTCCTCTGCCTTCTGCCACACTTCAGGGGTTATCCTGCTAACCGATGCATGGATCAACTCCTTCACTTGTGAGAGACTTGTACTGAATGGGCTTCCTGTTCATGCGGATCTACTCCATCAACTGTATCTTTGTTTCTGCCGGTCTGTAGTGAACACCACAGGATGGGAGGAAATCCTGCATCGCCTGCTTTAGGGTACTCATTGTCGGTGTGATGCTACATGGTTCCCGCACATTATGGTAGCTGGCATTGTCCATCTCTATGACAGTGGGCCGATAAAGATTGGGCAAAAGCTGATGTTCCATCCAATCCATGAAAACATCTCCGTTCATCTCCTGATGGTAATCTCCACTTGATTTCTTTGCCTCAGAGACCAACTCGCAACCGTCGATCAAACCTGTGTCTCGGCTTCCTGCATGAAGTAAAATCATCCGGTTTCCCTTCCCAGATGGTACCACGGGGGCTCTCTGTCGGTCTTTGGGTAACCACATATAGTCCATAGAATGGTTCTTGTTTACCCAAGTTTCATCCAGGTAAACTATCTGGAAGCCAAGGGCACGGTTCTCTGCCACAGTTCTCAAGTAAGAGGATCTCATGGACACAATAGAGTACTTCTCCCTGAAGACAGCTCTGTCATCACCGCGGGCTTTGTACTTGAACCCCATCTAATGAAGGGCAATGATGAGGGTGGTTCTGGAGACGTTGATACTGTCCTGAATTTCCTCTCTGATACTCCTACATGTTGGTGGAATCTTCTTCTCATAAAGTTTGGTTTTACGTCCCGGTTTTGCTTTTGAGACGGTCCCTGTCTTGTCTGATTTGTTTACAATATTGTAAACTTGTTGGTAAGACATACCAACAGCTCTACAGGTTCTGTAATAAACCCTTTCTAAACTGATGAAAGGTTTACCTCTGTCTCTCTCAAGCGCAAAAAACTTAAAACCTTTGCAACAATCGACTGCAAATCGTTGGCTATAGTGAACGCTGTGATAAAGATGTGCATGCATGACGGGAAACTAATTTATTAAGACTTAACATTTATATCAATTTTTCTTCAATGAAGAAACGATAATTAAGTCAAGTAACACAAACATTCAACATTTTATTTATTTAAGAAAAACGTTAATTTATATTTTTGGACCACCTGTATTATCAACATAAATTTAAAGACTATTTCAGATTTCTCATGTCAAACACTGAAAAAAATCTTGAGTTGTTGTTTTGGTACCATATTCTCTACTGTAAACTGTCCTTTAAATGCATGGAAATGTTAAATCGATTGAAATAAAAATTAGGTACACTATAGGCATACAGTATATATTGACAACATAGTACATTTATCACCTTTATCAAAGTATTAAGGCTAAAAAGCATTTTTCTAGCATTTCCGACAGTACTTTAGTACACGTGTGCCTCCATGGCGACACGGCAAGTATGACCCGAAGTTTTGAATACTCGATCACGAGGGCCCGTACCTCGATCGGAAGAGAGCGGGACTTCAACCACGAGAGTCGCGGGTTCGAGACCCAATTTGGAAAAACACTTGCAAAAGTTCCTTCACTATGAAAGTGCACGTGAGGGAAATTGTGACGTACGTCCTTACATTCTAAAGGTGCTACCAACCCTGTAATTATTTCTAACGGCAGCATTTTTATTTTTTGTGTTTCTCATCGCCCGACCGACCCTTCTAATTTTATTGCCGTATCCATATCAATGATGACGTCGACATGCATATGACGCCGTCTCTATATCAGTGATGACGTCTCTACATGCATATGACGCCGACTCTATATCAATGATGACGTCGACATGCATATGACGCCGTCTCTATATCAATGATGACGTCTCTACATGCATATGAAGCCGTCTCTATATCAATGATGACGTCGACATGCATATGACGCCGTCTCTATATCAATGATGACGTCTCTACATGCATATGACGCCGTCTCCATATCAATGATGACGTCTCTACATGCATATGACGCCGTCTCTATATCAATGATGACGTCGACATGCATATGACGCCGTCTCTATATCAATGATGACGTCTCTACATGCATATGACGCCGTCTCCATACCAATGATGACGTCTCTACATGCATATGACGCCGTCTCTATATCAATGATGACGTCTCTACATGCATATGACGCCGTCTCTATATCAATGATGACGTCGACATGCATATGACGCCGTCTCTATATCAATGATGACGTCTCTACATGCATATGACGCCGTCTCCATATCAATGATGACGTCTCTACATGCATATGACGACAAAGGATGACAAAACCATCTGCAGCCTCTATTCACACACTTACAGGAATCAGTTACACATTATCCTCACAAACAGCAGTCTAAGTAAACTTAGACTAAGTATTTTTCGTTACACTGCTCAGTATAAGTTTACTTATACTAGACAAACAGGTGCGTTCAGTCAATTTCTTGAATGCAATGGTTGAATGGAACAACGTCCACGTAGATACACATATCTTCGGTATTTTTTAGGAACGTCATTGAATCTTTTTGCGACATCAGTCAACATTCATGGCTCATCAACATTAATACGATATAGGATTTTGTCAATGTTCTGTATAATGTTCTAGACAATGTTTTGGATAAAGTTCTGGACAATGTTCTGATACTTTTCAGGAAAATATTCAGCATAATGTTCTGGACAAGGACTCTAAGGGTGCGGGTTCGAATCCCGAATGGGACTCAACCCCAAAAGTACTAGAATCTGTACTTTACTAAGAAAGTGTAATCCCAAATATAACATATGGTACATTTGACCACTTTCTAAAATGGCTTTGTGTATTTTATAGCTTTCGGCCGTGGAGCCGTGCCAGTTAACACTTATCAGAAGGGTACACAAAGTCCGCAGTCTAGACTACCAGTTGTCCGAATTCCGTTTTCGTGGAAGCCTCGGTGGCTGAGCGGTCTAGGCGTCTGGCTTTGGGTGTTGGCGATTAGGTGCCTGACTCTAAGGGTGCGGGTTCGAATCCCGGACGGGACTCAACCCAAAAAGTACTAGAATCTGTACTTTACTAAGAAAGTGTAATCCCAAATATAACATATGTTATTTCTTGATATTATTAGTTCTGGATAATGTTCTGATACTTTTCTGGAAAATATTCAGGGCAATGGCTTTGGATAGTGTACTGGACAACGTTGTGCATACATTTCTCACACTGGACAATATTCTTGGAAAATGTTCTTGACAGTGTTTTTTATAATGTTCTGGACAATGGACCCCTGATATAGATGGCAAGCAACTGGTGGTATTAGATTCTTATTACCCCGCCTCGGAGTTGAACACGTAATGGAAGTCCCCATTCTCAGCAGAGCATATGAGCACACTCACCGACAGCACACCCCGTGTCCCCGGTGTCAAGGTCATATGTATTAGTTATTTACTGGGTGAATGACACTTTGTTTACTAATCCTTTTGTCACAAGGTTTGGAATCAGATACCGGTGTGTTTAAATCACCATCACCACACACATAAGTATTAACCAATGAGCCAAATGCTCGGCGTTTAACGTTACAAAGACTTCCCTATTTCAACGTTCAAGTAGGTTGAAAGGGTTCAAATCCGGATTCGCCTTAATAAAGTGTTGTCTAGCAGCCGTAACTCCTCCATGCACGATGCACACAGTCAAGACTAGACTAATGCTTAGTCTCTGAATATATATAAGTTCGACAGTAACAAACAAGCCCATTTAAATTGAAAAGGAGCCCCATGGAGACCAGAGATTCGGAATCGGGGGAAAATCTAGACTTGCTTTATTTAGGGCTTTATTACTGCAGAGAGGGCTAGGCAGTAGGGAAAATAATGTGGTTCAGGGACCGTGAGAGAGACTAACTAACGCTTTGTCCCTGACTATATAATTTTGACAGTAACAAATAAACCCATTTAAATTGAAAAGGAACCCTCGTGATTTGGGAAATCTTGAACCTGAAGAAATCTAGACTTGCTTCATTTAGCATTGCATTGGGGAGGTCTAGGCAGTAGGGAAAATAATGTGGTTCAGGGACTGGGAGACAGACTAAGTCAAGACACAAGTCGAGCGTTGACTTAAAAAGAACGTCCACCGACACCCGGACCGTATAGAGAATACAGGCGTGTATATGCATATGAAAAAGCCTGCATGACCCGACCTTCAATTTTCTTCAGACTTCGTTTACAGGTCAGTCATAGAACAAGACAATAGGACATGTCAGCTAAAACCGTGTACTTATTTCATCGCAGAGCCCGAAGTGAGAGAGTGAGTGAGTGAGTTTGGTTTTACCCCGCTTTCAGCAACATTCAAGCAATATCACGGCGGGGAACATGTAGGGAGTTGGACCGGTCCTCGGCGTGATGAGCGAACGCTTTGACCACTAGGCTACCCCGCCGCCCCTTTCTTCAAGGAAATAACAGTAAAGTATAACAGGAACTACACACCAGTGTAAAGGACCTAATTTGAGAACATGAACTAATTGAAAGTCGGATTTGAACCTCTGGATATTATCCAGGTGTCATCATTGGTGAAGAATTTGACGATTCAGCTGCATATGCTAAGAACTAGTATGTAGAAGGATAAATAGGTCACACACATACCTTAGCTCGCTAACAATTAAAACAGACAGGTATTAGGTCTTTGAAAGACATTTAGAAGGGATACACACGAGGAAGAGAGTTTTTTTATTATTCTTTATTATGAGGGACACAAGGTTTCGGAGTATATCCTTACTCCTTCATCACTCCGAAACGTTGTGTTCGTCATAATAAAGAAGTTGACATCCATAAAAACTCTCTTCCTTAGACAGATATTACATGTAGTTTGTGTAATTAGGTGAAATTATTTATCAGTTGGAAGTACGTACTCTGTGGCATACGGTCGTACATATCTCACGTTATTCATCCGCCGTACATCCCAGCTTAAACGCCTGGATCACAAGGTAAAAGATATCACATGTCACCGAACTCCCTTTATCATCACCAAAGCTGACGTGAAGGTCGGGAATTTAATCGAGTTATCTGACACTGAAAGTACGATCATGCCACACTATCTATACTTGTTGTCAGCTGTTCGTCTTTCCGTGAGGCTTTGTGAGTACAGAAAGGATGACAGCCACAGATCAGATATCCATGACATTGTCACCGTTAGTAAACATCGACAACATTAATATTCTTTCTGGTCCTTTATAAGGAAATGGAAACATTTATATACCTTACTATGTGCTAAACATTAAATTCTACTTAAAATATAAGCTGAGACCTCCAGACCCTACTCACTACAACCATACTATTCAACCTTACCCCTCCAATTTCATATTCCCTCCACAGAAACTTTAATGACATCTTAAGTATCTACATAATTGTTGTAATCTCATGATGTTATATTTATATATATGTATACATGCGTGTATGTATGTGCATATGTATGTATATGTATATATGTATGTGTGCGCGTGTGTGTATATGTTTGCAATACTGTCTTTTATGTCATATAGAGCCTTGCAAAACATCACTGAAGCTATATACATATATATTTGGATGTTGTCCTCTTTGCCATATGTATTTTATGTGAGACCTGAAATGGAATAAAAAAAAAAATAATAATAATTTGTTTATTCTTTCTGGTTTTAAACTGTCTGGGACCATGGGGTAATAAGTAGTAGACCCGTCATTTGTTGTGGGGGAGTGGTTCGGGTGAAATCAAGGGAGGGTCACCATAAATATGAGTCCCTGGGGAATGTTACAAACAATTATAGATTAAAAAATTGGTTAGGGTAATGAAAACAATGGATATGTTATAATTAATTTTAAAGTACCTCCTTCGCCTACCCATTACTGAAGTATTCATAAAAACTGAAACACATCATATTCATTTCCATTGACACTAACACAACACAGGGTTAAGTGTAGTACCCACCTTGACTTTCTCTCTTTTCGTCTCAACGATTCGTGTGCAGCTGTCAACTCCTATTGTGGACCTATTCCCTTTATGAAAAGTATTATCCTTCGCTCGGAAGAACAGAGAAGATTTCCCCACTCCTGGTTCTCCGAGTAACACCAGTTTAAATGTTGGGTAGCGATCGCTCGCCATTTTGACACACATCTAGCTCTCTCCTTCCCATTCACCTGTATGTATACAGCCTTTAGGTTAACATACTTCCTCTGCACGCGGTTTGGAGTCGTGGTTGTGAAAGTAACCCCTGACATGCGAGCTAGCAACGACGTGACCATCTGATTGGACGGCTGGATAATGTGACTGGGACTAGGATGTTGTTTACCTCCACTGCTCTTTATAATGTTAGTCGATTTAGTTCCTGGTTATGTGTGACACAACGTTTAACCCACAACACTTCACTACCGGGGCTGTAGTGACCTGGGAAATCAGCAATGATAATTTTACTTCTGTGATAACTTTTTTATATCACTGTAACGAGGTTAGACTGTTATTGCACAGGGTATTGTTGCCGTGGAATATAGTGTGGTGTAGTGCAGTGTAACCTATTGATGACCTGCTGTCTGACTAAATATAGCCCACCGCTTCCTGTTTGCTAGTTGCAAGCCAACTGGACGTGACGTCACTTAAGTGATCGGGTAGCCCAGTTGTTACAGCGTTTGATACCTGCTGTGACAAGCTGACAGATTATAACGTCTTTTTATCAAAGAAGTGCGCGCGCGTGATTGTGTGCATGTGTGTGTATGTATGTGTACAGACACGCACGCACTCATGCATATGCTATACGATAGCTGTATGTAAATCGAGTCTGGACCCGACAATCCAGTGATCAACATCATAAGCATCGATCTACGCAATTGGGATACGATGACATGTCACATTTCCAGGAAAGAAACTCCGACTGACGGTGAACGGGTAAGGGAGCGGTGAGTTATCAGAAAACGCTCCCTCCATGAAACAAAGGTGAAGGTGAGGTGAAATGGGGTTTAACGTCGTGCTTGAGAATATTTCGCTCATATGACGACGTGCATGCGTGTGTATGTGTATGTGCGGCTGCTTGTACTAGCCCAGACTGAAGCTGGTTTTGTAGTGCTAGCCCACTGAGATACCATGCCGCAGTGAAGCATGAATACCCCACTCAGACACATTATACTGACTCTGAGCCGACCAGTCCTTGTTGTACCCATTAATGCCGAGCGCCAGGCAGGGACCAACAAGTACCATATTTTAACGTCTTGGCATGACGCGGTCAGGGATCGAACCCGCGACCTTCCGCTCTCCGGGCGGACGCTCTAACCACTACACCACGGAGGCGTTCCCATGAAACAAAAGAAGTATTCCGATCCTTTATAGCTGTAAATTAAAAGAACTGTCATTAAATTTGATCATGTCCATTTGAGCAACACTTGCTTATAATTGTGGCTGGGTAATTTTGCTTACAAATGTTCTACAACATAACACTTAAGGTAGTTGTGTATCTCGCGATCATTAAAATTTTCAAACTTTTAAATCAAATTATATTTCTTGAAAGAAAACCATGCAGAAATATTTTCCTGCAGAATCAATGGAAGTAAAGATATGCTATCAATAACTTGAGATATTGTTATTTGAAAATCAAACATGATGATATCAACTGAGAGGTATATTGTCCCCTCAATGGTGATAGCTTGAGGTTTAGATAGGTTTAGACTGCAACCGCCATTAGAAGAGATACAGCTCGTCCGCACAAAGTCCACGCACTGAGCACAGATACTGCGAATCCCTGATACAATGTTATCATGCATTATATGGTGTGATTCGTAACATGGCTATGAAGCGCTCGTAAAATAGCGTATTTCTGCTCTACTGTATTCAATATCGGGCAGTGGCCTGCAATAGTGTGAATCTGCTGAACTACCGAGTAAGAGAATGGGGATGGTTTTATGTTATAACAATATTCCACCAATATCACGGCGGAGGACACAAGAAATGGGCTTCACATAGTACCCATGTGGGGAATGTTTACCCATGTGGAGAATGTTGTACCCATGTGGAGAATGTTGTACCCATGTGCTTGTAATGCCCCTGGTTATAATGCCACTCTGGATATAATGCCATGTTTTTGCCAGAACGTATTTCCTGCCTAAATATTACCCTGGTTATAATGCCTAAATGGATATAATGCCACTTGCCAATGTTTTTCTCCCTGGTTATAATGCCAATTACACTGGCTGCATGTAGCATACATACCTTAAGTCCTGTGACTCCCACTCAGTGGAGGATGAGATTCATATTTTGATCAGTTGCCCTTTTATTCAGATTTACGTTACAGTTTCCTCATGCAGTTGAATCAGCTAGACTCTGCTTTCTCGCTGCTGCCTGTCGTTCAGCAGGCTGTGTTTATGCTCTAACATACAGCAATGGTTAAACTTCTTGCCGCTCTTGTCAACCGTTTGTATAGGAGGAGACTATATATCTCTTTGTACGGGGTCTGGGTGGGTCTGGGTTGTGAGTGTAGGTGGGTATGAGGATAGAAGGGTGAGTGAGTGAGTGAGTGAGTGAGTGAGTGAGTGAGTGAGTGAGTGAGTGAGTGAGTGAGTGAGTGAGTGAGTGAGTGAGTGAGTGAGTGAGTGAGTGAGTGAGTGAGTGAGTGAGTGAGTGAGTGAGTGAGTGAGTGAGTGAGTGAGTGAGTGGTGAGTGAGTGAGTGAGTGAGTGAGTGAGTGAGTGAGTGGGTGGGTGAGGTGAGTGGTGAGTGGGTGAGTGAGTGAGTGAAGAGTGAGTGAGTGTGAGTGTGTGTGTGTGTGTGTGTGTGTGTGTGTGTGTGAGAGAGAGAATCGGTATGATGTTGCATGTGGATGTATGTGCAATATACATTTTTATCAATCCTAAATGTTTTACTGTGATGTGTGTATCATAGACCAAATGGCCGGATGCTGTGTAAACGTTTTAATCGTGTCATCATGTACTGCTTATTAATAAAATATTTTTCTTCTTCTTCTTAATTGGCTAACTGACATGACCCACATTAATTGAACAAACTCATTAATGTTTGAAATAGTCAACACATGTGACCATACACTTCCTGCCACCAACAAGTCACCTGCAGCCCCTAGATGCTGGGATTATCCAGTCATTCAAGGCTCATTACAGGAGACATCAGCTCAATCACCTTGTTGATTGCATAGGGCCGCTAACTGTCCTACCTGGTTATAAAGCCACCCTGGATATAATGCCACATTTTAAACGGTGGATAACCAGGGTATACTGTATATTAGAATGCGAGCAGAATGGCGGCGCGGTTACCAATATGAACACTAATTACCGGCCACGTTACTGAATATGGTACATGTTGTTTACCTGCCTAGGGGGTGGTGTTCGAACCACACACACACACACACACACACACACACACGCACGCACGCACGCGCGCGCGCGCACGCACACACACACACACGCGGATCCGCCAATGTTTTAGAGCCTATATTCATCTCACCTCACCACAGTGAGTAGAATCCTGGGACGATATAAATCATACAACACAGACATACACACTTGGTTCCAGAATAAATAAGTTTAAATGGCAGAAACCTAATGTAGGCCGTGACTGTCAACTGTCCCAGTCCTGGCACGTCTTATACACTGCAGCACGACATAACATCACACCGAGTGTAACTTTTCATCATAACACATACCCAAGTCGCCTAAATTGAACCACCTGTCATCGCGTGTTTCCGTCATTCAAGTATGATAATCAGATGTAATCGGTTGTCAATCCGTCACTCACAGTCTGACGCCTCGGGACATAGTGCTCACGTCGCTGGTCCTGATCGCCGAGGATATTATTCATGTAGACGTGTGCACTGATTGTCTCGGGTGGAATTCGTTTGTCGTGCTCACTGAAGGGAGCGAACTCAACCTCAATACGTAAATTGAATTCTACTGACAGTGGAAGAATGTCGAGTGCTTGTTATGAATCAGACATAACATGGACAGTTGTCTACCATGTCGGATCTCGTCCCTCGACATATCTCGCTCCTTCACACGTGACTTCTTAGTTAAAATGGCTTTACACACAAATATATAATAATGGCAGGAACCGAATGTAAGCCAGGGCTGTCAGTTGTCCCAATTCTGTAACGTCTTTAATATTTATAAAATCCTCTCTGTATACGAAGGTACATTTCTTTGTTAATCCGGACGAAGGTATATTTCTCCATATCCAGACTTTTGTTAATCCGGACGAAGGTACATTTCTCCATATCCAGACTTTTGTTAATCCGGACGAAGGTACATTTCTCCATATCCAGACTTTTGTTAATCCGGACGAAGGTACATTTCTCCATATCCAGACTTTTGTTAATCCGGACGAAGGTACATTTCTCCATATCCAGACTTTGTTAATCCGGACGAAGGTACATTTCTCCATATCAGACTTTTGTTAATCCGGACGAAGGTATATTTCTCCATATCCAGACTCTTGTTAATTCGGACGACGGTATATTTCTCCATATCCAGACTTGTGTGAATCCGGACTGTTCAAATGGGAACCTTACACTTTGGATTAGACCCCACTCAGTCAAAACCCTTCGCATTTCCAAAACGAGGCTTACATTGCCATGTTCATTTTACTGTCACCTTTTTCTACACACAAAACCTAACTGACCATTAAAAGAATACAAAATTTAGTGCATAAGAAAAACTACAGAAAGGAAATGAAAATTGAGATTTATAACTTAGGTCAAGTGCTACTGCCAGCCCTTGGGGCTCAATATAAGAGGTTCCCTTTAGCTGTGCTTCACTTAAGAATTGAACTTTACTTTGTGTGAGTTTGAACCTTCATAGTGTGGGGCCAAACTGTGTGAAAGTCGGAGCTTGCGACGTCAAAGTTCGTTCTTCATTCGCCTAAGAACGTCAGTTTCGCGGTCATGTGACCAGCCTCTAGTCCAATGGATAAGCCGTATATCATGTAAACTTCAAGCAGAAATGTTTAGCAATATCTAATTTCACAGTATTAAAACATAACACAAATGATTGCACATTACTTTAGTGAGTGAGTGAGTGAGTGAGTGAGTATGGTTTACGCCGCTTTTAGCAATATTCCAACAATATCACGGCGGGGACACCAGAAAATGGGCTTCACACATTGTGCCCATGTGGGGAATCGAACCCAAGTGTTCGGCGTGACGAGCCAACGCTTTACCCACTATACTACCCCACCGCCCCCTTACACATTACTTTAACATTAACCTCTTCTCATCATGTCATTATCTATATGTACCTCTATAACAAAACCTGGCATATCTGAGTCAAGTGTTGCTCTAGCTCGA